ATTGGTTAAATAAAAGGAAACTCTGGACCAGTTTATATATCGAAATATACATGATATAACTATTATATAAATACAATTACAAAATATGTCTTCGTAGAAATGTGTAAATTAAGAAAAACTTCATATATTCTTCCAGGCAAGATGGCACTTATATATATGGACAATTTATATGTAAGTAATATACTGCCACATTTGTGTGTCAACCTTTAAACCATCCACATAACACCATACAAATAGAAGGTGAGTCAAAAGTCTGGAATCACGCTTGCCAAAGTGAATGTAGCATGGTTACACCCTGGCGACTTGCCCCTGTACGTGTTCTGAAAGTTAAATGGTAATGAGAATGTAACAAAAAGTTACTGAGCAATAAATCAAGATGACGATGTCATAGGGACTGGATGGAACAAAAGAACAGAATTCTGAAACTATGTTAGTTGTCAGAGGTCACCGGTTTGGTTGGATGCCTCTTAAAGACCCTGTGTGGTGGAGAAGTGTCGCAGTGGGTATCACACTGTGTTACCACCCCAGCGTCTTGAGTTAGATTCCTGGACGTGACTTACATCAGTGGCCTTATCCAGAAGTGGATTGGTTGGACAAGTAATGCAAACTAATGACCATGCAAAGTATGTCTCTCCACCATCCTACATGGGTACATTCATAACTCTACCACCTGAATTAGTCTGTTACAGTGAACTTCTCACACACAACACCACTAACTAAATGACCTGTACTGAAAATAAAGCATTGGTTGGTGCCCAAAAAAGCACTTTGTGTTGAATTGATGTCTTGGAGCTGTGGCCATAATGTTAACTCTTGTATTGACAGAATACAATGATCAGCATGTGCTTAGTTTGTTGTCCTCCCACGCCTCCGATTAGCATGGTTGGCTACGTATTTGGTGCGAAAGAAGTTCAACATACACACATGTTATTTTCATATCAATTGGTGGGATCAGTGTCAATTTAGTTGTCAGACCTCTGAAGAGAGTTGAGCTGGAAACAGTGACAGACATAGCAGCATCATTTATAATTAAATATTTTCTGGACACTGCTTGTCTGGCTTATTTGCATTCATTAACCCCCCCCCCCCTCTTGCCTTTGCACGTAGGGGGCTTACAAATGACGACATCACATCTATCTCTTTATTTAAGAACGAAACAGGAGGATTTCTCCACAAAACTGATGATGCTAATTGTAATTACTGCCGAAACATTGTACTGAGATTGTAAATATTGTGGATTCACTCTCCAACACATCGGTGTGCTGTACAAGTAACTAATTGGCATGTTTTGTTTATGTGACAAACCTTTCTAATTGCCTGTGTCGGGTGGTGGTGGGTTTAACGACACATTTATATTTACGCGATCTAACCCGCCCAAAAAAACATGTATTATTGATAATATTGGTCGCACACGCCTACGTGTTAAACTGGCTTGGTGTGTAGGGGTTACTAACTTAAGGAATTCATATTTTTAGGTTTTTTCCGGTTAAGTCACGTAAGTAAAACATCAAAATAAAAATAAAATGAAAATAAAAATCACGACGTTTCGGAGGCAACACAAGTCTCCGTCATCAGGTGGGACCTCCTCCCTCCCGATACGTTTCCATTCATTGTGTTGAGCACTGCGTGCAGTCTTTGATCACCGCTCCTCCCCCTCCCGATACGTTTCCATTCATTGGCTACCACAGTCTGATAAGCTCTCCCCCCCCCTCTCCACCTCCCTTCAACTTGCTTATAAGGGATTACATCTTGAATCATTGCTTCACTTGATGCAGCTAATTCAGCTGTGACGGTCCCACCTGATGACGGAGACTTGTGTTGCCTCCGAAACGTCGTGATTTTTATTTTCATTTTATTTTTATTTTGATGTTTTACTTACGTGACTTAACCGAAAAAACCTAAAAATATGAATCTTTGCAGTCACGAAAGCTTCAAATCTAGAATTAACTTAAGGAACTTACCACTAGAGTGTAAGGCACATCAATTAAGAATCTTCTGTTATCGTAAATTATATTCCTCTAATCCTATAAGCAGGTTTGAACACCATCACACACACCACCATATGGAAGACAAAATAACACGAGATGGATGTAGTGTACCAAAATTCCCAGAAGAGCGTTCCTGACTCTTCTGGCTGAAATGAAGCACTGAGCACAATTTATAAATTGTCACCACACGACTCAAATGGAGATCTGCTGGACTTCCAACTGATGCAGAAGGTCCCAACAGTGGTTGGTGACACATTTCTCTGCACCAGCAAGAGCCCCGTTGTGGCTTCTCTTTAAATTGCTCTTTCAGTCAAAGTGACAGGAGCGATGGTTCAGGCTCACCTCTCTTCCTTCCCCTCACAGTAGCAAACAAAATAGCCCATTCCTTTTCGGTCTCTCGAGTGCTGATAGAAGTGCATTATTACGTTTTAAATCTCCTGGCTTCTTTACTTTTCAGCCTTATAAAGTAAAGAAGCAGCTGTATATAATCATATCCCTTGGGAGCAAGGCCATGGGTGCTTAGATCCGCAATAGTGTGCTTGTGTAGCGACATCGTTGAATGTCACCATATTGTGGGTGCAGTACCCGCCCTAGAGGGGCATGGTGTACGTGGTATAACATCGCTGGATAGCACCATGCTGTGAGTGCAGTGCCAGGCCCTCGAGGGCACAGTGTGTGTGTGCCGACCTAAGGGGAAAGTCGTGTGAGGTCATGGCACTCTGGTTGACTCGGGAGGACACGTGACCGGTTGAGATGAGGGGGGAGGGGGCCCAAGAGGGGGCTAGGAGAGTCACATGATTGGGACCCAGGTTCTTCCTGATGGTTCTGGAAGGTGGACGTGGCCAAGGGTGGAGCCGGCCTCACCGCAAAGAATCTAAGCCGGCTCCCGAGAGGGACCGGGGTTGTTCGTCCCGGGAAAGAAACCCTTCGTCTACGATCTCCGTTCTATGAATCTTCCAGCACGTGGAGCCGGGCAGTATGCTGTTGGTCCCGGGTCCGTAGTTAACAGTTACGTGGTAACTAGTGTAGTTAGCCGGGTGTTCACCACCTTAGGTTATTATCGTGTTAAGGGGAAAGTTTACCCCGTGTCTTGGAACTAAATAAATGTGCTGCCTCCAAGTCTAAGTGTGCGACTCGGTTGAACCCACTACAATTGTATCAGACGTTGCCCTCAACATTACGCCCCGACATCGCTATGTAACGACGTGTTCCTTATCTCAGAACTGCCTATGTACGGTGTTCTTATATCAGTTACTAGCAGGAAATACCCAGCGTTGCCCGGGTAACGTTTGTGAGTGTAGAGTGGCTCAATCATTTTATTCATGTGGGGTTCAATGGCGTTACAGGAACTCTTAAGATGTTGCTGTGCCACGGGGACTGTAATCAATGTAATGCAACGTGCCACAATGGGGTACCAAATGATATAGCGATAGCTTTAATGGTGTGAATTTGTATTCGGAAGACAGACAGACTTTGATGTGTATATATAATATACTATACTATTTGAAAATCTGCTCGTACATATTAATATACATTGGCACTTCAGTGCTTTGATCATTACTGTTTTCAAAGTTTGGTTATTCTAACAATGTAATTTCCTTCAAGCTCTCGGCTAGGGTGTTTTTCTAATGTGCCAGTTTTATCCCCACCCCATTCATTGTTACGTGGCTGCTCACAACTGTAGGTACAGATTTTTGATCGTGAAAAATGTTCATTTTGTGCACGTTACGATGCTTCATTTAATCCCCTGTTGTTCCAATTGTCTCTTGAATCACCCCAGAGTCTTCCCAATATCTAATGTCTTAGAATAACATCTTTAACTTTGGGATGGCCTACCAGGGCTTGAAATTCACAGTGTGTGCTTAATCATAATTGATAATATTGCCTCGTTGGTGCCTTAATGTCTGTGATAGCACCCAGGCCAAAGCCTACATTACATCAGGAATGGGCACCCCTTTGCTAACACTGACATACAGCTCAGAGTTAGTCATTGATGTCAGTGAAAATTGTGCATGTGACATGTTTTTATTTCAATAAGCTGGAACCTTATTATTGTTTAACTCTGCCAGCCTTCTAACAGGTTTTGTGATGCTTGTCCGTGTATTAATTGATCATCTGCCTTTGACAAAGTGTATTTGTAATTCATTCACGACCTATAGCATCCAAAATGAGCCCTCTTATTAATGTGTACTACGTATATCCCTATCTCTATCCATCACTGAAAGAAGGCTTCTCCATGCCTTGTTGGTCATAGGGGTGGGGCTGTTTGATCATACTTCACCATGCAGGTCATTGCGAGTTGGTGAAGGTGGTCGGTGGGGGTGGGGGGAGTAGGACTGGTTTGTTACCTTGCATGGGAATCAACCACAGATCACTGGGTTCATGGCAAACCACTACGCCACTGCTACTGCTGAAAATTTTCAGCTCGTTGAGATGCAGAAGGCAGGTGGACACTTGAATAGTTAGAGGACTCAACCCTGAGTCACTTTGTACAGGTGATTACTTTCTCTCCTTTCATACTTCTTTGGGGAATTGTCACAGCTACGGCTGCTGCAAAAATACCATGGATGTCTAAATCACGCACAGAGGTAGACCATTGTGGATAACACAAGACGCATTCCATCTTGAAGAATAACTACAATTGAATTGGTGAATCATAACACGTATTATCATTATTAACGATGATACATGTCTTTTTGTCAAAAGAGGCAGCGATGCCCAAAGGACGATGGCACTTATTGTGGCGCAATGATTAATTGATTAGTTTGTCCTGACAAAAAAACATTATTATAGAGAAGACAAGGTCATATCTAATAGTTCCGGAATATTCTGCAATATGTGTAAGATAAAATGAATGGAAATGCTTCTGCATTAGTTTCCATGTTTGCACTTAAACTCAAAGATCTATTTTCACGTAAGAATATCCCTGACGTGCGTAATCATCTGTTGTGTGTACATGGTACAATATGAGCCCTGGCATTACAGTGTTTTTTTCTGTTTTTCTTGCTTCAGAAAGACAGATTTGTCAAGCTTTTGGATCAGCTCCACAACTCTCTCCGTATTGACCTGTCCATGTATCGGGTGAGTCCTTCGTCCTGTCCACACCGTCGATTACTTCACTTTTCTCAGGGTTAGCCACCCTTGTTTAAGGAAAACTACATTTAAACACACACTCAAATAAATCCTACAAAATATAATCGTGAGAGGTTTTGTCAACGCTAATGTTAGGTGTGTTCAAAAGTGAACTGCTGTATTTTGAACAGTTTTTGTCTAGTCAGTTAAACCTTCGCTGGCCAAGCAAATAAGGGAGGTGGGGGGGGCCTGGTCCGGCAAGATGAACGGTGCGGCTTGCCGCTATTGGGAACCCCACGTAACAAATCAACAACAATTCTGTGTGCATGCGCACATGTATTCAGTGTGATCAATGCGTGCGCGCTTTATCCTATGAACCAAAAAACAACAGTGCTTACTGGATGTACTGTATTCCGTGTTGTGTGCTGTATTGTAGAATTGTCTATAGGTCCGTGCAATACTGTTAAGTCGGTCCCTCCATCTCCCACAGGCCCTCATTGCCACGATTATGTAATGATCACCAGAAACAAAAAAACACAGATAAATTGAAGTTGTCATCCTACTCAAATTACATTGGGGCACTGTTTATATCAGGTAACTGTTAATATAATTACAAATTCCTATTGTCGGTGCTGAATTTCTAGGTTCACCACCCATATATCTCGAAGTGATACTTAGTGTATCGACTGCAGAGAGATTATAATTTTGGTGGATCCCTTACCAGGATTTCATTTTTCACCTTTTTCAAATTATGAGTTGACTGCGCCACCACAGCATCAATCTCACACATGGTGGAGCAGCTTCAGAATACATGGTTGTAGGCAAATTAGTTAATCTAATCATGGTAAAATATTTAAAATATCAGATCGAGAAAGTGACAATATTTTTTTTTAGTTTTAAATTTGTTTTACATCTGGACTGTCCATATTGTAGTTCTTAAGTTAAGAAAATCTTATATAAAGCATATTTGGCAGAAAATACACTGGGTCAGTTTGCATTAATACATGTTACATTTAAGCAGGCAGGACCATCATGTGACTCCAATGTTGGAATGGCTTCAGTAGCAATATAATCAGGATCTTTAAGTTCAAATCCTGGTTGGAGAATTTGTATTCCTTTGGGATCTACAAAATTCGTACTTTGTGAGTAAATCAATAGTGGTTGTGCAATTGGACTTGCTCATACCGTAGGTAATTGCAATTTCCACTCTTGGCTCAGGGCTGTAAACCGGAGATGGGCATTACCTACCTCAATGCTCATTTCAGCAGGAAATCACTTTGATTTTTGTTTACCTACAAAACTGTGCTGTGTGTAGTTTGTTGTCCTTCCTCTGCACCTCCGATTAGCACCATTGGATATGTACGGTCTGAAAGAAGTTCAACACATATACAAATTGAATAAACCTGACATGCCATTAAATTGCTTCTCTGGGCTCCCAATTGTTTGCTCTTCACTCCATGTGTGCACATTATTAGGCAAACCTTATTTACTTTTCCATTATTATATTCCTTTATCTTGAAAATGTTTTGGCAACCTTGGAAAATTATTTTGGCATACTGCAAGGTGTGGCGAGAAGTTATCTCCCTCGCCTGGTATGCAGATGGTCGTGGGTTCGATCCCAACCCTGACACCTGTATATTTGGAGTTTGCATGTTCTCCCCGTGGTCACATGGATTTTTTTCTCTTGGTAACTGGTTTTTAGATTGTTTAGATTATTTGGCTGCTATACATTTCCACATAAGCCAGTTTGTTGAGCTATCATTTGTAGCCAGGTCGCTTCTGAAAAAAATATAAAAAGCTCCGTGAGCCTTTCCTCGTAAGTCCACAGCAAAACAGAAGAGTGCCTGCCTGGACTTGCAGTTTGGCTTTGGGAGAAGACATGAGTCCAGATCCTCTATAAGCTGGAGGCTTTCCAGTTCACATACAAGCAGGAAGCAGCTGCTGGTTAAGCATGGCAATAAAATTAATAATGGAAATGCTTGCTGCAAAAATGTCTGAAATTTGTGCTGCTAATGACTCATTGTAAAAGGCTGCCCAATGTTCTGGCAGCTGAGACGACCATTAACAGATTGCACACCCAAGTCACATGTATCCCAGCTAAAACTGCACAGTTTTCATTGAGGATTTAAGAGTTTTCGTCAAGTCACCCTTTGCTCTCTGTATCATAATCTACCCCCTAACTTTTAAGAGCAAGATAGTTACTAAGTGTTGGGGGGAGGGGGGTTATTAAACACATAGAGAAACAGAAACACAGACATAAAGAAACACGGGGAGAAGGAGAGACATTTATTATGCAGAAATAGAGATACACAGAGAGACATGGAGCACGTAAAAATACATGACGAGCAACAATCAGACAGAGAAGTGTAGAGAGGGGCACAGAAAGACACGAACAGACATAAATATATAGAGAGCAGTGCACGATGTTAAATTGAGGCCCCAGTGCTGCATGCAGTAGAGAGAAAAGGGGAGACAGAGAAAGATACAGAGAGATAAAAATAGATATCCAGGCGTGTCTCGCTTAACAAGTGAGATAAGTTAGGTAAAATTTGCTCCGTAAGCAAAAACCCGTGGAATATTTTTTTAAATAAAGTAATACAAATTCGAATCTAACACTTATCACACATGAATAACCACAGTGCTTGCAGGTGCCTGACATTTATGTTATTTGAAGGGCAGATGTTAGTGGGTCGGGGGAGCAATAGGGGTCATGCAGGACTGCTGGTTCAAATATAACTCGCCATTGATGCTAGCCGTGGCTCAGAATCGACCCAGGTCTGCTGGGTTCATCGTCACGATGCGGGGATGCGAGATGGAACTCGACCTCCTGTCCTCAGCATCTGCAATTAATTAGCGCTGCCACCCACCCATTACAGTGCCACCAAGAGAGGCCCCCTTTTCCCACACAACGAAACATGCGGGCACAGTACAGGAGAGCTGGTAGACAAACAGCTATGGCCACCACGGGCGCATATGCATTGACCGGTCTCAGCTCGCTAAGCAAACATTCGCTCGTTTTGCGAATAAATGGGTCTACATTCAAATTCCTCGTTATAGCAAATTTTCATAAAAATAACGCTTGTTGAGCAAGACTCGCCTGTATAGGGATACAGAGAGACAGACAGCGGCAGAAATATGGGAAAAGATAAAGCGACATCCTGAGAGCCAGTGATACACAAAAGCACAGACACGGAGTAAGACACAAAGACATGGAAAGAGAGGAGAGACAGAGCCACGGATAAAGATACACAGACATATATGGAGACACACAGAAAGACATAAACCAAAGAGATACATAGAGATACAGTGAGACATGGGGAGATGCACTGAGAAAGATAGAGGTCATAGAGAGGGAGACATTAGAAAGACAAACAGATGCAGACAACAGACAAGTAGGCAGATAAAGAGACAAGGTGAGACGTGGATACACAGAGTGAAAGTGAGATATATGCAGAGGGACACAGACATAAATCGGGTGAAAGATAAAGAACCATGGAGAGAAATATAGATTTACACAGACGCAAGATGACTGAGAGATACGGAGAGGGGCACAGGGATATACAAATAGCCATGGAGAAAAAAGACACAGCAACAGACACAGATACATAGCAAGAGGCAGAGAGATGCATCGACACAAAAACACAGCAATATATTGGACTATCAAGCCCTGAAAGAATCTACAAATTTGAGTAAGATCTGGCAAACCCTCTCCAACAACCTGCATGCTACCCGGTTCCTCGTAACATATCCACATATATGGAAGAGACACAACAACATTTCATGCAATTAGTGGGCTAAGGACAATACCAGGGCTACAGACTTGGCCATAGCATGTGCCCTATACGGATGGACATATGACTGTGGTGGCAAGATGTGACAAGAATAAAAAAGAAGATTCACTTCTCCTCATAAAAGGTGTTGTGATTGTTGGATTTATACATCTCTATTGTGTATAAATATATTGGTTGGTCTGTGATGCCTTACCATGTCCGATTTCACCATCTGCTTTTAAAAATCGTGGTTTTCATGATAATCAAGGATGACTGTATGCTGTTATTTTTAAGTGCCAATAACAGTGATATTACTAACATAATACGGAATAATAAAAATCAATAGCAGGTAATTTTGACTGCAAATATATTTAATTTCATAATAATTATGACCATAGATTAAATATTTAAATCGAGTAAAATGTTACTGTACATTGCACACGTGTCAGTGTGTGCCCAACAATAAGCTTTATATGTAGCTGTACATAAATGCTATAATTTGGTACAATTACAAAGTGATGTTATTGGAAAAGTAATATATTACCTTTATAGCCAAGTTAAAGCCCATTATTCGATACAAACCATCGTAGTCTAATGCCTGTAATAACTATGGATAAAAATGGCAGTAAATTTTAATTGATAATTTTCTCGTTGTGCCTCTGAGTTGTTCTTTTTGAGGGGGAGCGAATGCTGTGCATATTACAAGTTGATATTGTTATTTTATTTTCATTATTTTCTGCAGAATAACTTTCCAGCCAGTAACCGAGAGAGGCTGCAGGACCTCAAGTCCACTGTGGATCTCCTCACCAGCATCACGTTCTTCCGCATGAAGGTAAGAAGCCTGCTGTCACTCAATCTAAACCAAAGCACAACCTGTTGGCAACTGTAAAATACTAATTGTATAAAAGATGTGCCCCGATAATTAAACAATTTGAACAATATTCCACTACAATCTCATGAAAACATGCAAAGATGTTTGAACTAACATGATTGGGTGCCATGGTGGCAAGATTTTAACTAGCTCGCTCGCCCGGTATACAGGAAGTCATGGGTTCCATTCCGACCTGACGCCTGTATATATTTGGAGTTGGCATGTTCTCCCCATGCTCGCGTAGATTTTTATCCTGGTCTGCCAGTTTTTCCTTCCACATTTAGAATCAACGTGCGTTTTGAGTATTTGGCTGCTATAAATTTCCACATGATGAGCCACTTCGTTGAGCTATCATTTGTGGCCAGGTCGCTTATGAAAAAGAGCTACATAGCTCAGTGGGCCTTCCCTGATAAAGTTTAGTTATAGTTTAGTTTTATACAAACGCCATCTGGTAATAATTAGGACAAGGTACATTTAAACATACATTCACAGAATATACACAATTCTGTGCCATTCTTGTTTGAAATAATACCAAATATGCATTGCATTTCTGCCTCACCTGAGATGGGGATTGCGTATAATGGAAGGGGAAAGGCTGCCTAGAATGTTTTAACATGGTGTGAAGAAGGGCATTATTGGGATTATAAATGGGAAATGAGCAGGTAGAATGAAATGATACTTGGAGGTTCTATGATAAGGGAGAAAGTGATTGGGTGCTGCAGGAGCTGGCGTGGCTGTGAAGATGGGTGAGGTATAACGGTTGTGCTGAAATGTATAACTTGGTGCAACGAGAGGTGAGATGGTGAGTGGAGTTGTTGAAAGAGGAGGAACTCATGATTTAAAGTATGTGTACACAATGTGTGTGTGTATTTCTCGTACGATGAGTTAATCAGGCTTGCTAGCTGTGTCAGGCAACTTGTATTTTGGAGTGAAGGCTTGGAATTGATTGGTAATATATCAATACCACGTGATGTTTTGAATCATTATAACTCCCCGAGTTTTTGTTAAATGATGCTACTTTGATGCAATGAAAGTGGCTGTCATTTGGTATGAATGTCTCACTCTTAATATTTTATATGTTTGTAGAGTTTACGTGAATTTTATCTGAACAGCCCAACAGCTAATACCTATTTGCCTAGGCATGCTCACAAAATTTGATTTCCACAGTTTTTAAGTATTATCTCTAAATAAATGACACTAAAATAACATAATCTGCAACAACATCATGAACTTCAATAGCAGCAGCAATAACAGCAACATTCTTCATAGCCATCAGCAATGCTATGAGGATCATCATTAATTTGTCGAAGTGGCAAAGTGGAGATAACAAACATGAATTTGCTGGCACTGTAAGGGTTACTCCTATCATCTGTACACAGGCTCAGATAATAGAGAGATATCGCGTTGATAATAGGAAGAACTTTGGATTCATTTGGGGGGAGGTAAAAGGGAGAGTGGAATATTGGAGGGTGCATAATAAGCCTTTGGCTGTGTGCCTCGACTCGTATTATGGCATTCTGTAATTGTTATTATACTCCATTTTGATTGTTATAATTTAATTGTGCAGTGTATTACACCATATTATTACATTGAAACACCCCTTAGGCGTGAATATGTAAACACTCCAAGTATTCGTGGCTTCTCCACAGATTACTGGAGTTGTGCGGCAATTCCTACTGTTGCCACATTTATCTGCAGCTTAGCGCTCCAGTGATCTTCTGCCATGGATGGATGGTGGTGATGATGATATATATATGCTGCAATGAAGTTTATCATCGTTGTGCTCCTTTGCTGTATGGCGGTACACTGAAGCTCTCCATTAAATAAAAAATACTGGTGCCTAGGGAGACGTTAGCAAAAAATGGAGCTCCTAGTATATTACCAGACCTGAAAGGCACACATAAAATCCTACCAGAAAGTTCCTATAAAAGCTAAAACTGATTTTTGCTCTTTTGATTTATATTTGTAGTGGCAATGCAAAGTAAATTTATTTAGCCAAAGCATCTCCTTATAGACTCAGAACCTGTTTTGTTTTGTTAATTCTTACACTGTTTGGTGTTGATGAATGTGCTTGTTATTTCTCTGAAAAGTAGGAAATAAAACACAGGAAATAGGATTTGACTCTGCTCTGTTAGAGTTTTGACCACCTACAGCTGATGTTTTCCCCATCAATCACTGAGAGACAATTACTGCCAACATTGTTCTTGATCCTCTTGCTAAAAGTGCACATCCTTTACAGCCGGCTCACTCTAGTATCCGATAAAGCATCCTCGTCTAACGTTGTTTTAATGTCCGGTACTGTTTCCTTAAGTCTAATAGCAGCTGCTGTCACTCGCATTGGAGAAAAAAAATACCTCCGTGGATTTAGCACCCCAACAAGCTGTCACCCGATTCCTAAACTTAATTTCCTCAGAAAAGGATTTGAGCGGTAATTTTATCCCACTTATCCACTCACCTTTGTCTCCTCCAAGGGCATTCAACTGAAACAGCCTTTTTGCCTATAGTCAATGCCCTTCCTCTGTAATTGGTGGTTCTTTCTCCACCCAGGCTCTTTTATACCCCTCTGCTGCCACTAGTATCAATCATTCCATCTTCTGTAATGGCCTACTCGACTATGTATATCTGGTACACTGTTTTTCCTGGCTCCACTCTGAATTTTAATCCCACTCTTTCCATGTCTGCACGAAAGGGTTATCCTCGTATTAGATTCCCTTACACTTATGGTGTTCTTCGAGACCCAGTCATCTGTCCACTGCTCTACTCCATCTCCGCCCACTTGGCAAAATTATTTCTGGCTTCAACGTTAACCGTAATTTCTATGCTGATGACACTGTGTGTTGGCATTGACTGCAATGATTCTACTACACTACCGATTCAGTCATCTTTCCCCTGAACTGTTCATTCATCAGGAGTTAATAAAATGCACACCACTTAGTAAAATGTTATCATTAATATGCCATTGATAAATTTAATTTCCCCATTATCTGAATGCAGCGGTGTGGCACACTGTGTACAAACGATTTAAGGCACCTTAGGCCCCACACAGAAAGGAGAATTGTAACGTTTAATGATTTCATTAATAACATCTCTAATGTATGCATCCAGAGTAAGAATGAGAGGGGTGATTATTTGGATGGAAATCTAAGGGCAAAGAGTTGGTAAAAAATTCGGGAGTGTCATTTTTAATGAACTAGTCGATAGCAGAAGAGAGGAGGAAGATCTTCAGTCTGGACTGAGAGGGGGAGAATCAGCAGTGCAGCCAACTAGAGGGAGAGTATTCCAATTTAAAGGGCCATCAGAGGAGGAGTGACCTCCCAGTTTAACGCTTAGGAGGCTTTCGCGACCATTATCCATAATAGAAGTGTTTGGGTTTGATCGCGTGAATATAAATGCGTCGTTAAAGCCACCACTACCCGACACAGCCAACTAGTAAGGTTTGTCACGCAAATAAAACATGCCAATTCGTTACGAGTACAGCAACACCGGTGTCATGGAGAGTAAATCCACAACATTTGAAATTCGAGTATGACGTTTCACCTTTAATTACAACTAGTATCATCAGGTGATTGCCAAAGTTTGGAGATTGTTTTTGGGTTCCACCAAAATGCGTTGAGTGAAGTGTAGGAACAGGAGAGTAGAGTGAGAGTGCAGGAGAGATAGGCTGGAGGGAGACAATGAATAATTTCAAAACTGTGATAACAATATTTCAGTTGCTTATATATTGAATTGGTAGCCAGTGAACAGATTTGGGACTCGGGGACATGTGGTCATTTTTGCAGATGCAAAAGTAAGTCTGATGTTTGGATCATCTGGACTTTTCCATCAAGGGATATATGTCCACCTTCGAAGATTGTCAGTGAGACGAGACGAGAGCATCGCATATGGTTTCAGTAGCAGCAGGGGTAAGAAAATTGTGGATACAAATATATGTAATGGAAGGGAAGAGATCCTGCAAGATTATGGACATTCTTATTAAGCATAATGTCATGATATAATTACCGTATACTTTAGCAGGGGATGTTGATGAAGTGCAGACTTCTTGCCAACAAATCTTGGTTAAGAGATATTCGGCTGGAAACAATTTGAAAAGATCCAGGCTGAGACAATCAGGGCGGAACGTCAGCTCCAATATTGAAGTATAATCGGTAGGGTCAACGGTCAATCCAGTGGGGACTGTGCTCTGACCTTGTGACATCATCACAGATTCTCATTGCCTTGCTTCCATATTGTGGTTGGCCACCGCTTTCTGTTTGCAAATGTGGCCCCGCCCTTTCTATTTTTGCAGATTTTTAGGAAATTGTGTTTGTTAGTTGAGTCCGATGTGTTTTTCCTCCAGAAATGTGTTATAGACTGCTGAACAGAAGATTCATTAAACAAAACAGCAACATTAAATTCTCCTCTGCTTGAATTTGGTCCCTAGTGTATGTGTTGCACCACTTAGTGGCAGAACACAAGCACACAATTAATCAGTCATTATATCGCCACATGAATCATTACTCATTCTTATCATGTGCAGCCAATATCACTCAAATATAGGGCTTTGGTCGGATGCAGCCATTTATTATGAGCTCAATTGTGATTGCTTTGATAAAAGACAATAATTTAGTAAATGCACCGCTATGAATTTTCAGTCTATTTGTCATCATTTTAATACAACTTGTGTGGTCTGCATGACCATCATGATGTATGCTACAATCATTATAAGACTTGCTTATATATAAAATTATTCAGAGTCCATGGTTACATACATAGTTTGCTTTCTATCGTTGTCATTGTTCTATGCAATCATGTGTGTTTCAGGAAAACGTGTCAATAATGATTAATGTATAATAGAGTTTTTTTTTGGGTTAGATCGTGTAAATATATAAATGTGTAATTAAAACCCGCCACCACCCGACACAGCCAACTAGTAAGGGTTGTCACGTAAACAGAACGTGGCCAATTCGTTACTAGTACAGCACTACAGCGGTATGTTGGAGGGCCAAGCCACAATATTTACAATCTTAGTACGGCGTTTCGCCAGTAATTACAACTAGCTTACTAGTTGTCTGTGTCGGGTGGTGGCGGGTTTTAACGACACATTTACATATTTACGCGATCTAACCCAAAAAAAAACTCTTACGAATGATATTGGTCGCGAAAGCCTACGTGTTAAAATGGTTCATGTGTTTCTAGGTACAGGACCTGCAGAGTCCCCCACGTGCCAGCACTGTGGTGAAGGACTGTGTGAAGAACTCACTCAGCTCAACGTACGAATACATATTTGCCAACTGCCACGAGCTATACAGCCAAGAATACCAATCTGCAGACCAGGTACCTTAACCATCTTTTGATAATTTCTGCTTATTTTTACAAACAGTTGGAAACTATTTTACTGCATCTGAAGATTGTCATTTTGTGTCATCAAACTCTCCAGCCCCTCAACTATAAAGGAATAATGGAGTGGTTGTTGAGAGAATGGATTCGTTAATCTGCCTAGGCAGTGTGTTCATAGCCAGCGCTAGTTTGGTGTAAAAACTCCATTTCAGTATAGCAGGATTGTAGTTTTGTTGGCTGGATAATTCAGTGTGAAAGCTGCCTAACCACACAAACGTTGGGTCTTCTCGGCCACAATCGTGTCCTGTACCTTGCAAATTGTGGACCTCTTGACTGGACATGACACAGGCCAGGGAAGAGATTGGCTGATATGTATGTTGAACTTCTTTCACACCATATGTAGCCAACCATGCTACTTGGAGGTGGAGATTGACTTGGAGCTGAGTAGACTTGCCGATGACTGGTACTCGCAGTACCAATAAAATATCTCAACTCGTTACCACTGCCGTATAAGAAAAATAGATGAAGCAGTGTTATGAATAAATGCATTGAGATTTTTTGCTATTTGTGCTTGTGCACCACTGCCAACATAGTATTACCAAATAATGTTGCGGCATCAAGATCGGCGTCTGCGTAAGGAGCTCGTGAAAGATGCCACTGGGCAGTTGGCGGTAACCACCCTCCAGCACAATAATGAGCAGAGCGCCGGGTGGCTAAAAGACCGTGAATTGATCAAGTGGGGAGCGCAGGTGGTGCATCTGTCAGTCTCGTCAGTCGGTCATTTAACACGCAAAACCTCGATGTGTCCCCTCGACTTGCCAGTGAGCCTTGGGCACTGCATGTAGACTCAAAGTATACCTAACCTGGCATGAGCACAATAGAGATGTTTTGTTATTGTTTTTTCCATGTGTATCACTATAGCTCAAATGGTGTACGCTGAGAAATATGAAGATGCATGATCGGTATATGATGAATTGATTATATGCAGAATATTAATGGCTGCAAAGGGTAGAGTGTAGTGGGGGGTGGAATGCAAGAGTGAAGGAATACAGTACATTTTAACTCTTCCATCATGGTCATTTATATTCATCAACAGTTGGCAGCCCATGCCTGGGGAGCAACACACAAGGCCCATGAAGCCTCAGTAATTTTAGCGCGTGAAATGCTGCACAACTCTCTGCTGTGGTGAAGCCGTTTAGAGTGAGCTGTAAGAAAAACAATACTTCAAGGGGCGTTATTGAGCTCCCTCAAGTACAAAAATACTATAAGATCTTCTTTAAACCAAGAGCCAATTGGGAAATTGTAAACAGAGAGGGTGAGGAAGCCTGCATAATTCACATGGGGATACAAACACACAAACAGAACATTTAAAAAGAGCAGTAAGATACGAATATTACATAAGAGTATGAAGCATTTTACCTACGAAAATGCTTACATTTTAAACATTTAATCTTGTTTGTACATAATATAAAATATTCCATGAGAGCATATCTGCAAGGTATACTGTATTTGAAGCAGTTTACTACAGACTTGTATAAACACACTGGATTGTAAATAGTGTAATTGTGTATGACTTATTCTTGGTTCTTTCGGTAAAGTCACGTAGATAGAAAATGTAATAAAAATTAAAGATAATAGAATAAAATAAAAATGTTAAATAAAAAAAAATTCAAAATAATAAAAGCAAAAAACCCACGACGTTTCGATCGCAACACAAGCGGCCTTCATCAGGCGGAGAGAATCTCTGTGTATGGCTTGTGTTTAATCATTATCTCTCACAGCTGCATTCCAGTTGCATAATTCTCATTTTCGTGAGATAACGGAGGCTTTGTGTTTCCATGATAAACAGTTAAAGGGTTCCCTCTCATTCTAGCAACACTCAAGGTGATGAATCCCAATACTTTTTAAGACATTCCCTGAAAAGGAAAGAAAAATCTAAATCATTTGTTACACTTATGGTAACCAGGTACAAACCTCTAAGTGAAAAGGGTAACACAATAGCTTGAGAGCTCAAGGGGTAAACAAAAATAATTAAGCATCTCATCTTATTGGTTCTTTCGGTAAAGTCACGTAGAAGGGAAGTAATAAAATAATAAAAATAAAACATAATAAAATAATTCTCACTAGTGATAAATATTTTATTATGTTTTATTTTATTAAAATTATGTTTTATTTTTATTATTTTATTACTTCCCTTCTACGTGACTTTACCGAAAGAACCAAGAAGATGAATCCCTGCAGTCACGAAAGCTTTAAATCGAAATTTAAGCATCTCATTTCAAGCAATTGCACACTTTGCAGCAGTAAGTATAAATAAATATACAGTGCTGATGAGTCCTAATCAGGACTCAGAAACTGGTCCACAGCTGTCCATCTCAGCATCACTGTTGCCTGTCAGTCTCTCACTTTTGCTTAAATTTATGTTCATGGTGACCTATTAAAAGAGGACCACAATGGACTTGTTCAGGAACTGCTGATGGTTTTTGTATATTCATGGAGGCTATGTACTTTGTACACATTATTGTTCGTCGTTTAAAGCCTTTATTGCCCACAGTCCGTGTGCCACCCTCCTATAATGTTCCGTTACTCTCTCATTATAGATTCCTGGCAGCTCTGGGTTTTTGGGAATTTTCACACACTCTTGAGTGGGTGCCAGCAGGGATGAAAATTTGGCACGTCAACTTAGCCAGCCTACCTGGAAACCGCAGTGGCTGATCATTCCGAGTGAGGTGGAAATCTGGGAGCTCACTTTTAGTTTTAACTACCTTGAAAAATGCGTTTGGTGTTAGTACTTGCCAAAAACTGAAGTAAACAGCCCTTAAGGCTAAGTTTATTTCGATTTGTTACACGGATGATCCCATGGTGCATGAACACAGCAGCAACAACAAAACAAAGAAATCAATATTGAAGATAATGAGGACTGTACGGGAATATTGCACAACTATTAACTTGTGAGATGGAATTGTAGTGCAAGTGCAGGAGTAAGAAGGGTCTCAAATGCAAAATATGTCAAAATAAACATTCACTTTTATAATAATTAACTAGGTTTTCTCTCGTGAAATTCGCACAGGACCTCAAAGTGCTGTACATGAAGCTTAAGTTATGGAAAAAGCCTGCAGTAAAACCAGGTGAATTATAAGACACAATTTAAAAAGTGTCAGACTCAGATTCCCTAATGGACCGAGGAAAGGGAATTCCACAATTGCAGAGCCTGGCTACAAAAAGCTCCGTCTCCAATACAACAAAGGCTGGTCTTTGGAAAAATGAGCAGACAAAAATCGGCAGATATAAGTTTTCACAGTGGAAAATAAAACTTAAGCAGATTGGTGATATATTTAGGAGCAAACTCATGCAAGGCAATAACCATGAGAATAAGAGGCTTAAATTCGATTCTATACTTTACAGGCAGTCAGTGCAGGGACGAAAGAATCGGAGTAATAATCGTAATAATCGGATAATAATTAATCGGAGTAATATAGTCACATGATTTAGATCTGGTTAAAACCTGGGTAGCTGAGTTTTGCAGTTTATTTGAAACACTTTTAGAAATTCCAGAAAGCAAGGCATTGTAGTAATTTAACCTTGATGAAATAAAGGCATGCACCAGTCTCTCTGCATCCAACAGGAACAGCATCGGTCTTGGTCGAGCTATGTTACGTAAATTAAATATCGAAATTTTGGTAATATTACATACGTGGGCCTCATGTCAAACTGGGGTCTAGGATAACACTAAAGTTTCTGACCTCAGAGGAAGACCGAATTACAGTCCCCTCTCTGGCCATCCTAAAATCCATCCGATTTACACTTGATGTGGAGAGCCCAACAACAACAAAAGTAGCACTAGTATTCAGAAGTACCAAGATTTTACAACATTAAAAAATATGTATATATTTTACCAGATATGGTCCACTGAACTATATAGCTCTTTTCCAGAAGTGACCTGGCCACAGATGATAGCTCAACGAAGTGGCTTATCACGTGGAAATGTATCGCAGGCAAATACTCTTAAACGCATGTTTCTAAATGTGAAGGGAAAACCCGGAGGACCTGGAGAAAAATCCACACGATCACGGACAGAACATTAAAACTCCACATATACAGGTGTCAGGGTCGGGATCGAGGCCAAAACATCCTGTATACCAGGCAGGGTAGTTGACATCTCGCCACCATGGCACCCTGGTGGCAAGATGGCTTCTGCACCGGAATCATCAATCATGAATCAATTATTTGCAAGCTTAACAAGTGCTTTTTTTTTAATATGAACCTCATGGCGGTACCCCGGGTTACCATAATGTTCGTGATGTAGTCATTTTTAGTCTGTTGATGGTCGGCGATGCGGCAATCGAGTCACCTCGACGAGCTGTACATGATGCACTATGGTGCGTACGAGCTGTACAAGGTTTCAGCGCAATCGTCCTCACTGCGTTTCGACATCGCGGAGTAGCACTGATTTCGGATTGATTGGTACCCCAGTCGTGGAGTTAAATACACCCCTGGAAAAAACAGTGTCCCAGAAATAAGATATTTAATTGCCTCGGCCATTTTGGATATAATAAACAATTTCTCACTGGGAATTGAGAAAAAAACAACGAACTTTTGCACTTAATATATCAACAAATTCTATTTGGGTACGAAAAAATGCTTTAAAATATACCGCTAGTGGAAATTACACCAACCTGTATGGAAAATTGTAAAAAAATAAATCAAGACTAATGCATGTGTAATCTTAACATTCAAATATGGAAATGCTTCACTTTCTTTCCGCCTGACATAGTCATGAGGTGCCTGGGTGGCTCAGAAGTCACAGTGCATAGCTGGAATCACTGAGGGCCTGGGTTGGAATCTAAGCTGATGGTCTCAGTCACCAATAACTCTAAAACGTTTTGGGTTTCCACTTAATTGGGCTAATTTGTAGCTCTGAGGATTGAAACATTAGTTTGACTGTCATGTGGAAAATCTCTGTCATATGCAGAGTGAGTGGGAAGTGCTGCCATCCACTCTGTGAACCAGAGGTCACTTGAAGTGATATTGGAATGGTTACTTCCCATCGTGACAACACGGTAGTGCAATCGGCATACAATTGTAGAAAAAGATACAAACTTACGCAAACAACAACACTTTCATATGCATAAACACCACTTAAAATGGACAGATGAATAGATAAATATCTCAAACGTGGATATATGCAGTTGTTTTCCCACCAAACAATGCTGGATATGGAAACAAAAATGTTTAGCATAGAAAAATATGCATTTTAATATGAAGCAGTACAGTTGTCGACAAAGAACACAAAAGTACACATGGACTAATTTAAAATGTGGGATCGACGGAATTGTGAAGTCATAGAAGTAAAATATCCCATACCATTATTTAATAATTTGACGTGTATATTCGTGGTCATCTCATACCCTGTTTGTGTGCCTATGGTTCAACAGACCAAAGACGAGGCTGCACCAGAGGAACACGGCCCCAGCATCAAGAACCTGGACTTTTGGCCCAAGCTCATCACCCTCATTGTTTCCATCATTGAGGAGGACAAAAACTCCTACACACCAGTCCTCAACCAGTACGTGGCACTATTTTACTCGTTGAGTTTTATCGGCGTGGTTTTTTCGTATCATTAAATTACGTAACTTAACATTTCAAACGAAAATATATATTAACAAAGCAATTACAAAAACGAATGGTGAACACCAGTTTTTTGCATGTCCGGAGTGCAACTTATAACATGTGAACTGAATTCTTGTCTTTGTAATTTACTGAAGAATATCAGTCATTTATGCATGTGCAGCCATCAGTAGTTTCTCTCTCAGTGAGATAACTACTGTACTCACTTGCAAAAAGCATTCACTGTGTACTCACCTCAATCGGCTCTGCAGTCAAAAGGCCCAGTTATTATAGCTACCAAATATTAAAATCAGAGCTTTTGTAATTATAGTTTTTTTTTACTATTTTAAACATTTTGTTCATATGCTGAGGTCTCAAAAAGGGCAGCTGATGAGTGCAAAAAAGTAAAATGTCAGGCTGATTAATTGGTCAGCATTTGTCTGCATTCATTCACGTGTTCATGAGGAGGAGGCCTGCGCCATACGGAGACGTTATACATGTGACAGGCATTCTCTGCCCATTAGAGTCAACCCGAATGCTCAATTTATATGTGGAAAGCCAGTGATTGTTGTCAAGTGAAGTAATAATATTTCTTAACAATAACAGAAGTCTTCTTTGGTAGATTCCGGAAACAGATAAGCAGGGTCACTCATAAGATGCGTTTAATTATAATCGTTGTATAATTATGGCCGTTCCAGGATCGGTGCCTATGTAAAATACCGATTTACCTGAGTGGTGCAAAAATGTAGTTTGCAGATTATGATATTTGGGGTTGGTGGACCACCACATGTGTATTGAGGTTGATGGATCATGAAGAGGGGTTGGTAGTTAACATAGAGATTGTGGTTGAGGGTTAATGAAGAGATTTGAGATGAGTGGTTCTTCAAATATTGAGATCGAATCATAAAGAGGGGGTTAATGGGGTTAATAGTTCACAAAACGGGTTGTGGTTGAAATTGGTTTGCTTGTTCACTTATAGAGCTTTTTGGTTGGGGGAGATTGGGGTTCATGCCTCCCAGTGATACTGGGGCTGGTGATTTGCAAAGAGATTCGAGATTAGTGAATTATGTAGTTATTGGAGTTGATAAATCGCTCAGCAATTGAGGTTGGTGTTTCATATATCGATTAGATTTGGTGGTTCATGTCGAGATACGTAGCATACACAATGATTCAGTATGAGAACCACCACCACTAAGACAAGCATAAGTGCGCAGGTGTATGTGTGTGTATACAGTAGATATGAAAGGGCCGGTGGATGTTTTGGGGTTGCTGCCTTTCTCGTGTCTGTGAGGTCTGCGTCCACACAGGTGCATGCGCGTATGTGTGTTCTTGCGTGTGTGTGGTGCACAGTGGCGGCTCCTGCAAAATCTCTCTGGGGGCAAATGTCTGGATGATTGATAAGGATAAGGTCCACCCATGCAATGGATAAATTAACAGCTTAAGCATGTAAAGGCAACTTCACTTCTTTAATATTAATGAAAAATAAAGTGACTCTTACAATACATCTTGTTTGTTTCTATACTCACTATTAAAACAAACCACTCAAGTCTATTTTATTAAAGATTCCACTAGGTGGCCACAAATTATATTGTTGGATGAAACGTGCTTACATATGATGACATAAGCACGTTAGGGCGAGCCCTCCCGGAAGCCATAGAGAATGCATTGCAGTGCCCCCCGGTCGAAAAAAAACATCTTTGAATGTAAGTCTATGGGGCCACTCGGGGCGATTCTCAGCTGGAGTGAAATCGCCCAAAAAGAGGCGGTACTCCACAGAACGTGACATGACGCTGATTGGACTGTATCCAGAGGCTGACAGTGACGGCTAGCGTGACTCTGTGGTTGAATGACATTGGTGGTGCGTCGCCCAATCGCCCTAATGAAGAAACCGCCCCTGGTGGTGCACGTGCTGTGTGAGTGTGTATGGTACAGGTTTTGTGTGTGTGTAGGCCTTGACACTTGGCGGTACAGGTTGTGTGCATAAGTGGTACAGACTATATGTGTTTGTGGCTGTGGTAGTGTGAGTGTGACGACCGGTCGTGTAGCGGTTCGCGTGTTGCGCTACGAACCTAGCTCACGGCCAACACCAGTGACGATTATCTGAACCGGTTCTAGATCGACTCAGCCTCAAATGAGTACCTGGTGCGGTGTGTAAACATCACCACTCAGGAGACAAAGGCGGCCGGGCGTGCTACTGGCCAGCCTTTGTAAGTGTTTGATAACAGTACTTGCTCAAACAGTCTGTTAGGGCTATATGGGGGATCTTTGTCTTCTGTGCTCGCTAACAGCACTTGCCCCTGCATCCTGTTCTGGCTACAAGGGGGATCTTTATCTTTGTGTGTCTGTGTAAATTCAGCTCAGATGGTATATACTGATGAGTGTGTAGATCCACAAGTAATCTATATGAAAAAATATGTAGATGCCGCATATTTATGATATTACATTGGAGATGATAGTGGGGAGTTGGATTATGCATTTAACAATGAAATCCATCTATGAGTCATACATATTCATGAACACGTTGGCAGCCAGTACAATGAGTGCGATTTTAGTGTAAGAAATATCACCCTGCTGCCTCTGCCTTACGTTCTGTTTTGTAAAAAAATATATCACATCCAAATCAATGTCTACTTGTGCATTCTGCTGGGTCACAGCAGGCTCTTCCTCGGTTTTTGCAACTGTAAGCTGGTGGTGCAAGGTAAATCACAAGTGAAGCATTTCAATCTATCACTGCCATCAAGTTAACAATTTGATACAGGTTTTGTGGAACAGAAAAAAGGTTGAAACCAGACCATCATTGTACAGTTTGATACCTTTGTCAAGCCCTGAGTGGCTGCATGAGGGATAACAGCAATGCCTTGCTTGTGAGCTTAAGGCCAGATACAGTAGATCATTAGTGGTTCGTCCACACATAGCAAAGTTGCAAGGAATTCTATATTGGTGGGAGCATATACAAGACCATAGCGCTATTAAATAGTTTTAGTCTTGCACAGTCAACATCTAAATTCACAGGGACACCATACAGCTTACAAACTCTTCAGATGAGGCAAGATTTTTATTGTAAATAACACAGTGGAGGAACTTGGTGAATAATGGTACATTTTCCAACAAGGCGTCTTAACATGGCCTCTGGATGATGCGTCACAGCCGGTTTTGGCAGGCCTTAATGTATTCTTAGCGTAGAGTTCCATTTTGTAAATGGTTTCATTATTTTAAAAAAATAATTATATTTACACATAGGGTTGTGAGCCCTTAGATGACTACATCAATTTACACTGAGTCAAATGCCCTTTCGTAGTGTGCAAAGGCTAGACATAATGGTAATTGATAGTCTTCTTCATTAGTATGTATGTGAGCAAGCACGGCTTATATTTCTAAACCCTGCTTGCTCACATACATACTATCAATCAGATTCTGGGGACGACTAATGAATATCAATTAAAGTAATTGGCTGGCCTCTACATTTTTGGTTATTCTACGTCCAACAATCTTCAGAAAACAATTCATATACACGCGGTAAGAGGCTAATGGGCCTGCCATTTTTCAAGTCGGGTTTTATCTCCGCTTTGAAAACAAGAATGATTGATGCATCATTCCACGATCGAGGTTTTATTACACCCTGTATTATTTAATTTAATTACTTTTTTGTGATAACTGGGATAACAGTAGCGGTTTCCACTGATTAAAATGCCTTTCATAAATGATAAAAGCCATGTGTAATGTATAGTATGAATGTGATCAATGGAGGAAAAGGCTTTCCTATATCCAGATGGCTCACGTGGTTGATTGATTGGTCTTTAAAACATTAATAAGTCGGTATGCCATTGAGAGCAATTTACAGGAATCCCCCACTGTTTGTTAGGGGTGTGTTCCTAGGAAATGCTCCTTATCTCAAAATTACTTAAACCGAACTGTTATTTTCCATAAAATAATGTTAATAATGTTAACATCGGGGCATTCTGAGCTGACATTATTGGGGAAAAAATGTCAGACTAAATGTGTACAAAAATACAGATGATTATAAGTTGACATACATTTAAACTCATAACAAATACAAATGTTTTGATAAGCCTTACCAGAGATGGTTTAAGAGCTTGCTGATCAAGGCCTCTTGGGGTGAGCAGTGGTGGAGTTATGCATACTAAGGGGTGGATCACCTTGCCTCTTCATCACCAGAGGAAGGTGGCTCTCCCTGAGGCTCTTCTCCGGACCTTTTGGCTTGATTGCAGAACGTTAAAAAAATATGTCCAAAGACAACTGGACAAAATTGTTGTTTCATGATGGTACATCTCCTTATAGCGGTGAATTCCAGTGAATGCCACTTAATACTCATGGTGGTGGTGGTTTAGATTCATCGGCCTTTTCCTCAGCTCTTTCCAGCTGCATCAGATCCTCATTTGACCGGTCCTCACTATGGGACTCCTACAACTCCACCACTTCAGACTCCTCCACCTTGTCAAGTCCAGCTTCCCTCCGCCAGTAAAAAATGGTGCATATGTTAAAAGAACGCATGTGCGAAATATTTAACTTATCAGGAAATAGGTTCCCTCATTCATCAGCAACGTATATGTGAAACAACTCATTATGCGGCTCATTTTACAGGGGATTCCTATATATACAGTCAGTTCACCTATAATGAGGTAATTAAGTTCCTGAAGAACACCGCATTATGGAAAAATTGCGCTATAATAACCATTAATTCAATGAGAATTAAGGGGTTAGGGGGTAGTGAGTTTCGAAAACCCCAACATGACTGACATTTTCATGATAATTTGTTATATAATTGTTGATTTGTATGTGTTCTGTTATAATTACTGTGTTGTAGTTCGATAATATAATTCATGATCTAAATAAATAAAAACATTAAAATAAGCGATAAATGCATGTTGCCGTGGAGGAGGGTGAAGAGAGAAAATGATGAAGGGTGTGAAGTAACTTGCTGAACAGCGTCACTTCACTTCCAGTAGCACCACTGCCAGAACGCTTCATACCTTTGCCGCTCATAATTAAAGTCAATAATGCTGTATGTAAAGCGAAACAAATTATACTTGCTAAAGCAAAGTCCACGGTAACACGTGAGTTTCGTATGCACGCTGAACAAAGACTAAGGTGCGTGGGTAGCATCAGGGGCGGTTTCTTCATTAGGGCGATTGGGCGACACACCACCAAAGTGTGAAAGGGACTTTTTCAATCACATTCAAAATCTCATTCAACCAGAGTTACGCTAGCCGTCACTGTGCCTCTGGATATAGTCCAATCAGCGTCATGTCACGTTCTGTGGAGTACCGCCTCTTTTTGGGCGATTTCACTCTGGCTGAGAATCGCCCAGAGTGTTTCCATAGACTTACATTCAAAGATGCTTTTTTTCGAACGGCGGGCGCTGCAATGCATTCTCTATGGCTTCCGGGAGGGCTCGCACTAACGTGCTTACGTCATCATACGTAAGCACGTTTCAGTCAACAATATTATTTGTCGCCACCTAGTGGAATCTTTAATTAAAGATACTGAGTGGATTGTAATAATAGTGAGTATAGAAACAAACAAGATGTATTGTAAGAGTCACTTTATTTTTCATTAATATTAAAGAAGTGAAGTTGCCTTTACATGCTTAAGCTGTTAATTTATCCATTGCATGGGTGGACCTTATCCTTATCAATCATCCAGACATTTGCCCCCCCTGAGAGATTTTGCAGGAGCCGCCACTGGGTAGCATCTTAAAACATCCAGCAGCATCCCGTCTTGAGTAATGCTATGCCGAGGCAGCCGTACAACCACTTATTCCTACTTATTCCTACTCGCGCAACACATAGTTCTGTTCACTCCGTTGCTTTACATCCTATTTGCATCCACCTTGTGAAAAAAAATGTCCCCAAATATCAGTCTTGATTTGAAGCTTTCGTGACTGCAGGAATCCATACTCTTTGGTTCTTTCGGTAAGGTCACGTAGGTATCAAATAAAATAAAATAAAAAATAAATCACGACGTTTCGGGCGCAACACAAGCGTCCATCATCAGGTGTTCTTTCCCACCTGATGATGGACGCTTGTGTTGCACCCGAAACGTCGTGATTTATTTTATTTTATACCCACGTGACTTTTCGCGTTATATCCAGTTCGCGTTTTGAAAACACGCGTTAGAGCAGAATGGACTGTACTTGTGATCGGAGGTTGATGGGTCTGCTATTCTTCAAATGATATCTACCTTTAAAAAAAAAGTTTGCAGCATCATTCCATGATTTAGGTATTACATTTTCTATTTACATATAAATGAAATAGTTCCCCTGAATTGTCTTCAAATATATAGTGTCGCTTCTTGGATGTCCACAATTATTCCATCTGGTCTAGGAGCTCTGCTTGTTTCTTACTGTGAGGCCCTTGTGTTTTTCTTCAAGTGTAACATCTGGAAATTCCTCTCTTCATCAGATAAAAGGTTTTTATTCTGGGGATGTATGATGTTGTTTTACAGATCTGCATAACAATATTCCACTCTTCTTCCCACTGGTCACTGATAAATGTAGTCTTTGAGAATATTTAAACTTTGCTGTGCTGTGCTTCAGGTTTCCTCAAGAGTTGAATGTTGGAAAGGTGAGCGCTGAAGTAATGTGGAATCTGTTCTCCTTGGATATGAGGGCTGCTATGCAAGGTAAAGTATGTCTTGTGTCCAAATCTACACAAACTAACCTTTTGCCTGTCCAAGGACGGGTGGATTGAAGTAAATCTGAAACTTGCAAACGAAAAGCAGACGGCGACGTGGTATTCATTGCATCCATTCGTGTGCAATTTGTAAGGCCGCGGTGACACAGACTTAATTCATTTAAAGGTTATAATCCCTTGTTCATCATGACGACCTTTTTACTTTGATGTCTCCACAGCGGAGATCGCGTGACGTGAGGGTTCTGCCTTTGTAGTGAGGGTTGTAAGTTGACGCTGAGGAGGGGGGAGGAGGCGCCTCGCCCCCCCCCCCCCATGTGGAGTGACGTCACCCGCTAATTAATATTAATGGCGGGGTGTCAATTTGGAGGACGTCACCTGCTCATGATTATTAATGAGGGGGGTTGGTCGACGTGGAGTGACGTCACGTGCGGGACGCACAAACATTTTTGACTCATTATAGTAGTTAATAAATCAACTCATAGCTCTATAGTATATTTTTATTAGCATGGATGCATAACGCATAAAATGTGTATGTGTGCATATATGTTTAAATGCACATTTTATGTAGGTGTACTTGTGTGGATGTGCATGCATGAGTTTAAATATGAGTAAAGTGAATCACGGGTTCACTGGGAATTATCTAGGCATGCACAGACAGCATCCTGCTGTGCATAGGTGGGTGTGCATTTATTTACTAGCTTCTGTGCCCGTCCTAGGACGGACGCTGTCATATTTACAAAAAATTGAGCAGAGTATAATTGTATCTTGTGTAAATTTAATGACAGTGAATCTTGCACAAAAGTATGTCATCAAACACTTCACTGCATTTCACTGTAGCACTGTATTAATGGCAGTGATTCTTGCACAAAACGATGTCATAAAACACCTCGCTTCATGTCACTGTAGCACTGTATATATAACTGACCTTAAATTAGTTTAAAGTCACTGCTCTGATACTTTATTCTCTTCTGCTTTCGGTCGCTGGGGTTGAAATAAATTGGAAATCGATACAATATCTGGAAAATCATCGGGAAATTAATATGTTACCATAATTAATAAGCATAAATTAAACTTACCTTTTGTCTCAAGTTGCTGAAAAAATAAATAAAGACACCAAATCCACTTTGTTGCTGCGTAGAATTATTTATTAGATTCACTTTCAATAAAGAAACGTCAAACTTAAAGCCAATTTGCGAGAAAAAATATTTCCGCTCGACCTTCTGTGCGAGTGTAAAAATCCATCCGCTCATGAATATGCGGCATGTGGAGTGGCGTCACATGCGGGACACACAAACACATTATTGGCTCATTATAGTAGTAATCGTGGATAAATCCAATGAGCGATAAAGCTTTTTCACAAATGTCCAGTTGCGGCGGTTCAGAACGTTCCAACAACAAACAATACAAACACGATAGGAGTATAAAGGATAAAGGTAAACAAATCACTTTAAAAATATACGAATAAAAATAAACTACTTTTTATCTTACCAGATAAAGCCCACTGAGCTGTTAACTTATTTTTGAGAAGCTACCTGGCCACATATGATAGCTCAACGAAGTGGTTTATCATGTGGAAATTTGTCGCAGCAAAATAATCTTAAGTGCATGTTTCTAAACATGGAGGAGAAATCCAGTGGCTTTGGTAGGTGTAATTATATAACACAGAAATCAATTTCTACTATTCTTCGAATGTTTGTATGTCTCTGGTGTAGGCCAATCAGTTTCGAAGGCAAATGCGTATATTGTCAGATAATGCTATTTGCATGTTTTGCCACAAGTACGTGTGCTTAATGCAGAGCTGATGCCTTGCAAAAGGCATCTATTTGGTGTTTGAACATCTTAACACTTGTTTTATTGCCAGAAAGGGTAAAACCTATTCTTATTTTTCATCAAACTATGTTTCAGTTTGCATGTCTGCAGACATTTGGCGGCAACATGTTCACCAGAGCAGGAAGCCCCCAGAGCAGCCTGACGTGCAGCAGTCTGCCACTGAGTAGATCAGTGATAGGGCAGCAGTTTGCAGCACATCAGCTGAGGAGCCCCGGGTTCTTTTTTCATGTTTTTGTCCCAGGGCAATTTTAGTTTTGTCCTTTCACAGACTTTTGAAGGTCAGGCTTCTATCCATATTGGGGTGGTTATCATCTCTATTAGTTACCTTGAGCTAGTGATGTGAATTGCTTGCATTCGAAGAATAGTAGAGATTGATTTCTGTGTGTTATGAATTGGTCTGAGAGAGGGATTGACTTTGGAAACATGTTGATGTTATTGGGGAGTGGGGAAGAGCTCTACATGTATGTGATGGAGGTGAGAGATGCTTGTTGGGATGTAGATGTGGAACATGATGGGTTAAAAGGTCAGTCAAGTTTATTTGTTCTACTATGCGAGACACAAGAGGCAACAATCGTCGCATTTGCAAGAATGGCCTGGTTCACTAAAAGGACGAAATAAAATCAAATGAAATACGCAAAAAGAAATCAAATAAAAAACAACTGTCACATGAGAAATCTAAAATATTGCACGAACATAAATCATTGTTAAATAGTGAATTTCCTCTCGTGCAAACCGGCAAAGGCAGATTACTTTTTAAACCGATTATAGTGCAATTACAATTAAGATACGAAAACATTAAACAGATGTATGTTGAATCCCGTAAGAATATGTGAAAAGAAAAGGGTATATGTCAAATATATTAGGTATTTACACTGAAGAAATATGCGTACAGTACTGCCGATGGAGATTGGGTGTTTATGGAGAGGTTTTGGGAGGTGTTGAGAGGATCTCATTACCTCAAGGTCTTCATGGAAATAATGGAATTTTCGTTAGACCTCCTTTGCCAGTACCAAAATATAATAATAGGGTTTTTCCCCTTTTTTCTGGCAACAAAACTGAAACCTGTTTACAAGGAATCGTGTGTGCATTAACCACAATACTTGTGGTCAAAATGCAAACAAAAAACACACTCCGATAATGCACACATGATTCCTTGTAAAAATGTTTCAGTTTTGTTGCCAGAAAAAAGGGGAAACCCCTATTATTATATTCTTAGGTTTTTTTTCGGTAAAGTCACGTAGGTAAAAAATTTTAATTAATAAAAGTAAAATTTTAAAAAAAATTCACGACGTTTTCGGAAGCAACACAAGCTTCCGTCTTCAGGTGGAACCGTCACAGCCACGACAGCTGTATCAAATAAATGAGAGATCACAAGAAATACTACCCCGTATATATGATGGTTGAGGGGGGAAGGGCCAGGAACGGCACACTTTTTTATTAATATGGTAAGGTGAGGCTTAAGACCAACGAGTAGACTGCATAACAAAGGACTGAGCCTTTGTTATGGAGAGGTGCGGTTTGTAACTAACACCTAGCATACATAACAAAAGTGTGAAAAAAGAAAAGCAAGTAAAAACTAAAACTGGTAAAACAACAAACTGGCTGTCTATCAATAACCTGTAATAGTTGTCTGTCAAATAAGATGGTCCAAATAAGTGTAGTTACATTAGTATTTCTTGTGATCTCTCATTTACTTGATACAGCTGTCGTGGCTGTGACGGTGCCACCTGAAGACGGAGGATTGTGTTGCTTCCGAAACGTCGTGATTTTATTTTATTTGTTTTATTTTACTTTTATTAATTTAAAATTTCTACCTACGTGACTTTACCAGAAAAAACCTAAGAATATGAATCCTTGCAGTCACAAAAGCTTCAAATCTAGAAACCTATTATTATTATAATGGACTTTTGTTAAGAATACATATATACCGGGGTGGCTCAACCCTGAATTAGCTTGTAATTTTCGAGGATACTATATACATGTGAAAAAAAGCAGACCTTGGTCAATGACACTGCCTTAAAATAAAAAATGATATAGAGAGGTAATGTTTTGGGCAATGGCCCTTCATAGCACAGTGTTATTGACCAATGTGTTGAGCTCTTTGTTATTTGTGCTAGTCCACCACTGCAGTATCACCAAATAATCCAGCAGTGAGTTTCTATCTGGAAGTCACGTATTTTCACTGAAATCATATTGTTCAAGATGTTTTTAAATAAGCAAGAAGTTATTCTTGGAGACGACCAATGAACACTTGCGTCGTGTGTGTAGTCCTTTAGATAATTGTATAACATGCCAGGGCGATCAGCTGGAATTGGGTTATAATAGTGAGTCGCTGATCCATTGGTTGGTCTAAGGGTTTAGTGGTGAGTGATTGAACAAAGTTTCTGATCCCTTTTATGATCTCGTTATCTGCGTTGTGTTTCAAGAGGTTGCTTTAACCATACTCGAGTAAATCAGGGAAGATTTATGAAGATGGACTTCATCCTGTTGAGGGTGCCAAAGACGAAAATAAACTTTGCTTAAGGGTAACTGTTTTGAAAAGTTTGGGTTGAAGGCAGTTCTCTTTGTTTCAGTATGGCAACAACTTTGCTGTTAGTGGATAGACATGTCCCACCCATGATCTGTAAGGTTTTAATGATAAGTGAGCAATATGCTTCTCTTACAGTAAAAACAACGTCTATGCTGAGGTTGTTAAGTTGAGATAATGTCCTTTTAACATTTAGGTACATCATGTTAATAGCAATCAACGTGATGTACCTAATGTTAACCGCATAAATGTTAACCGTTATACATCAAGGCAAGTTGTCTTGATGGAAAACTTCAAGTTTATGAGTAATTGTAGTTGCTCTTGTGCTTGTGAAGAGAGAGTCCTGCATTTGGTTGTTGGGTATTTGTGAAAAAAATGTTGTTTATCTTTGAAGTGGTCATGGAGGTCATGGCAATATGGCAGATATTGCTGTTTGCATTGTCGTACACAAGGGAGAAGACGCTTAATTCCTAAGATAATGTTTGGAGGGATATTTAAATATAATTGATATGGAAGAACTTGAAAATGAGGTTAAAATCAGATTAGTGGGTGGTAGTAAGAGACCAGGAGAAAGAGAGTGTGATGTCATCAACATTTACATTTGTAAACATAACCTTGTAATATTTTGTACAATTACATAAGGACCTCAACATTTTAGCTGTGCATGTGGGACATTGACACTCGTTTAAATTGCAGTTAAAATGCATTTGCCTTCAATACTTCGATTTGAAAGCCATATATTCATTCAATTTTTTTTTACAAACGCTTAAGTAATTACATTCTGATTACAGGCAGGGATTAGTAAATGTAAATAATGATCAAGTTTCTAGCCACTGTGTCCATTTCTACGCCAGTCCCTCAAATACAGACATAAACACAGTAGAAATATCAAGAGTGCAGTTTGAATGTGTGTTCTGTATCCCCTCCGACAAGATGAATGTGTGCAATGTGAGCCGACTTGTAAACTTGTTTGTATTTGGGTGTTTTTAAGCTTCCACTTTGCATCCACACTTGCCGTGACTGATGTTTAATTTAGTTTGTAATGGATGTCGTTGGTTTTTTTCATTTGAAGAGCACGAGAAGCACAGGCAGTGTAAGAGTGCAGACTACATGAATCTGCACTTCAAAGTGAAATGGCTTTACAATGAATATGTAAAGGACCTGCCAGCTTCAAAAGAGAAAGTTCCAGAATACTCTGCGTAAGTTCCATAATGATCGTTCTCAACACTATCCATTTTTCAATCAATGTATCGATGCAGGCCTCTCTGGTCAAGGTTTTGTACATCTGTAAGATCCCTCATTTCCGAATGTACCCTGCTTTTATTCCATTAGTTTTTTTCGTATGTGCTTTTGCTTACGTTTGCTCCCATTCCATCACTTTTATTGACCTGTCTTTTTGAAGGTTCATATGATGTCCCACATGGTTTTTCAATAATTCTAGCATTGTTTTTACTTTCTAGTCATTACACGTATGTGTTTGTTTATTATTTACAGTGGTTTTTGTAATATTTTGTCATCAGATACACTTCATTCCACGTGATATGTTGTGATTCATGGGGTTGATGGTACACCTTTAAAATAGAACGTTATCTTAATTAATTACACAAGTCAGCACTTGGTATAGCCAATACCTTATCAATCGCTCTATATGGAATGTTAACCATGGTTATTTTTTAAAATACAATGTTTCTTTTGTCAGGTGACCGTTAACTGTAATATCACTGTAATATCACTGTAATATCAGCTCAGGCTGACCACAATATAGCAGTCCATGGGTACATTCACCTATGGCCAGCCTTACTGCTGTGAACGCTGTTGGAGTATTTTAATATATATTGGTTGCTTTTTGCTTTACTGTTGCTAACATTTGTTCATATTTAAATAAATAGATCACATCAAAATGAACACAAGAAGTGCTGACACATTGCAAATCATAAGAGTCCTGCTGAGTGCTGCTGGTTTGGAAACAATTGAATCAGAATAATTTGATCATCAAGCTGTGTGCAGTGATTCGTGTGCATGTCTCGTGACCTGTGTCACCACTTGTGCAACCAAAAATGGACAAATGACATTTTCCTAGAAAATGTAAATTTTTTTGGGCAGAGAAGTTTCTCATCATTGCTAAAGGTGGCAATGACTTGCAACAAAAGCACCCACCTACATCACGGCGTTAAAATTGTTATGCCTATCGTCATCATCATTATAATTTAACTTATACAGAATTTAAATACTACACGCATCTCAAGACAATGCACAGGGAAAACAATTTAAACATAAACATCATATACAAATATAAATAATAAGACCTTACAAGAAGTTGAATCGTGCAAATGGAGCGGCAGAACACATCACTCCGTACACTGTCGCCTCCAACTGCCAGAACCACGTGCAGACGGTGAATTGTCCTGCAATGTGAACTGAGTGTCGCAATAACATAGACAAGTTGCAAGATTGTGCTGTTTCCTTATTCACAGGGAAGTGTTCCATCGTTATCGATGGTGGCAGACTTTTGAGAAAGGCAGTCACAACAACCATTTTGTTACTATAATCATTATTATTTGTCATCTCATTCTTATTTTTTTTATGATCATCTTTTACGTAACAATGTGTTTTGATATTTGTTGATGTTTTTTGTTTCTCTGCAATGGATGTTCTGGTAACATCCAAATGTTTTACCCCACAGCGGTCTTCGTTTATATAGAAAATCATGCTTTAAATGTGTTGAGGGTAACTTAAAAACCTCCGTCAATCAGATGAAAGTGTGGTGCCCCTTGGATCCTCTGTAAGTCTGTGCAGCATTACAGGCAATGCGTGCAATTCAACAAAGGGGAAAAGGTGTGATATCCACGAATGGCACAGAATGGTTTTGGCCATGTTCACTCCACAAATTATGAAGAAAATAATCATTTGGAAAACTTTTCCAATCAATTTCTGGATGAAGGCTTCCCCATGTCGTGTTGGTTATTGGGGGTTGTTTGATCGTTCTTCATCACGCTGGTCAGTGCAGGTTCGCTAAGCGGGGGCCAGGACTAATACGGAAATCATGATGTTAGCCATGAAGTTACTCATCATGTGGCACTAACCACTGTGCCACAACCTTTGTGACATTCATTTAGTTTTTTGTCAGTTTCACAGCGAAGTGCTTGTGATTACTTTATAAAGTGAAAGGATGAGATTAAGCTAAAAAAATAGATACATTTGTTTAAGAGTTTCCACAACACCAACACATGATGAAGCATGGGCATCACAGTAGACCACGAGGAAGCGCAAGGACCCATAACCAAAGCACAGAAACTTCCATACAAAGAAAGGAAAAAAAGTTGTACTGTCATGGGAGTGTTGGGTGTATACAATTGGATGGATATAGTTCAGCCTTTGTTATAAAAGTGTTGCACGGCAAAAATAGTTTTCTCTACTGGGTGGAAAGCAGCATGAAAACCCAGGCTGAATCATGTGTTTTCTCCACGGCAGACACACCACTTATGTGGAAAACTAAATCCTGCTGGCAAAAATAAACGCTTGGACAAAAATAGTTTGTGTGTGGAAAAAAGTGTTTAGCTTTGTCTGTGTGGGATCTCACCTTTTCATGAAGGTTATTGATTGACTTATATACGATGAATGCTCGTTTCTTCCAAAGCCCTTTTTTATGTGTGGAACATAATTTAGATTGTTAAATGTCATGTGGTGCTGTGTGTCGATGTTGTAGGTGGTTTGAGCCATTTGTACTGCAGTGGTTGGATGAAAATGAAGAGGTCTCATTGGAATTTCTGCGAGGCGCTCTGGACCGAGACAAGAAGGATGGGGTAGGCTAATCCATATATTTTTCAAGAAAAAGCATACGTATATAGTTCAGGGCAATCAAACTATATATACACATCTTAAATAATACCTATCACCTCGAAATTTATATATTAACTCTAAGTGAAAATCTTAACCTCTCTGCTTGGTTTGAGATTATAAAGTATTAAGTTTACTAATATCACCATCAGCCGTTGTCTATCCTCAGTTGGACAAATACCTCTTGCTTTCACCATCCTTCACTTTCCTGCGGTGCTACAATCCACCTCACTCCTACACGTGAACTGATCTCATTACTACATTCATGTGATGGCCGTGCTCTTATAAACACATTATCTTCTTTCACTATCTTTCTATCACCAGTCTCATCCATTATCCATAAGTCACGTGCCCTGCTCAAGCCCACTTAATTTGTTCAACATTCAACATTGTGACTGTGACTTGTGTTTGTTATTTTAATCCAGTGTTCCTTTTCATATTTTTGTGTAATTCCAAGCGTGTGTTTACCCATGATTTTGTGCCCAATTGTCAACTTTTATTCAATTTTAATTGCATTTGTCCAAGTTTCTGATCCATACTTCATAGGTAGCGATATTCAGTTATTACAACAACAACGCATCCTGTTCAGGCTCAATGGTTTGCTGCCATTCATTATTCATTTCAGTTTTCCAAAACAATTCTATCCTGCTTTTGTTCTTATTATATTGATGCCAATCCAATGTCAATTATTGCTATAGCTATTATAAATCTACTGCTTTGTTTTAAATAGTTTCCCTGATTTATTATTGTACGTGACTCGTTTAGCGTTTATTTTTTTCAGGCTCATTTCACTGCCTTCTTTCTTGAACCATTCCTTGTTATTTATTTAATTGGTTCTTATAACTGCCATTATCGACTCTGAGATGGTGAATACTTAATCGATTTATGATTATGCCGTCATTTTTCCAGTCCCATTGTTGTAAAATATATTCTGTTAATCTATTTTGTTATTTATCATTTTAGCAATTCACTCATTTTATACATTTCTGAAACAACAAAAAAACATGGCTGAACAAAGCCCGTAAATCCATGGGACTCTTTAACATATATTTTAAGCCACTTGTTGATGACACCCAATAACAGCAACATTTGTCCGCGATTACTGGAATAAAGCACAATTATCTCCACGTAACCAATGATATAGGTGTTGGATGGGCTTTAGTTTGTTTGTGATCAGCACGTACAGAGAACCCATTCCCTCATTGTCCCCTTGCTGCTGTCCCTTATCTCTGAACTCCACTCACTGCCACGCCTTCCCTCATTTCCACACATCCTCAGCACCATTCCCACCAATGCCCCCTCTCGCTCACACTTAGTATACCTATCGTCTGTCGTTAATAAAACATCTTTACTTGTTAAAAACATTTATTAGCTACAAAAAGTAAACCACAAATTCAAAGGATTAATAAAACGTCACAATATGACTAAAGCGGAAGTTGAACGGTGCAACTAATATGCATCCTATTTCTTGCTTGTCTTCTGCAATACAGTTTAACGCTATTGAACCAATCCAGTGTATCGCATACCATACCCTTCACTATAACATATTCACGTGGCATCAATCAACAAAAAAATCACATGCAATAACCACAGCATTGCTTAGCACTGCACATATAACATTTACGCAGGAAAAAATAAACAGTTTTTGAAATAGTAGTATGAGTGGGGCGAGAGAAGTTTACTACATGACTACTCCTTGGTTTGGCTTTCCATAGGCTGTATCAGAGCCATTATATTCAACCCTCAGGGTAGTGAATACATGACAAGTTACCAAATGTAAAATGGAACACATTGAGTACATTAATTACGGAACTTTGTACAATGGTTTTGGTGGTGGAGGAGACCTGGTATTGATCTCCTGTGAGGTTGTTTGCAGCCCCCAGGCTTAGAGCTGCCTCAACGATGAGCCTTTCACATGTACTCGTCGTGTCAACTGAAATAATGTCAACATGGTAAAGCCTACTACACATGGTGCAATGCCTATGCGTTACAATGCAGGAAAGAATGGAACCACCCACCTTGCTTCCCATTAGTTGCAACCCCTCCAGTGTCAATGCCATCCACATCACACATTATGACAGTGATGACACCAGACCCAAAAGCACGTTCATGTTGGTGTACCGGGCGAGGCGACCCCGAGTTGATGTGAGCTCACGCCGCATTGCCGAGTTACCACAGCGTGTGCACCATGCCTTACAACAGCCACTAAGTGACAGTGATATCACCACAGCGCTTGTGCCAGGCTAGATGCACTTTTAACCGTCACGTGAGTGTCAAAGGCTCGCTAGCAGGAGGCCACGGCACACAGGCCCAGGTGCTATGGGTTGACTGAGATGACTGGCAGATTCACAACCTGTGCTCCCCACTGTGCCAGCTTGATGTATTTTAACTGCCTGGCACTCCGCTCATTGTTGTGCCAGGCAGTTAAAATACAGCAAGCTGGCACAGTGGGGAGCACAGGTTGTGAATCTGCCAGTCATCTCAGTCAACCCATAGCACCTGGGCCTGTGTGCCGTGGCCTCCTGCTAGCGAGCCTTTGTTATTTGTTGGAGGGCATCTGCCTCTTAACTGCCCAGTAACATCCTTCACGAGACTCCTCAGAAGCCAAACTTGGCACCGCTGGTAACAGTCATTGGAAAGTCCAATGAGCTTGCATATCCTTCTCAGACCACCTTTTCTCGAGCTTGTGCTGCAAAAGTTTAGCTCTCTCTATCTGGCCAAACAGAAGCGTCTTGGACATGTGGTGGCTGGGGATGAGGGCTAAATGACCCAGCCAAAGCAGCCTCGCCGCCGGGGCATCTCACTGATGAGACTTTGTAGATATACTTCAGGGATCTGTGACCTACTCACGCAATCCAGTCTGGTTATACCCACAATGGATTGTAGGCAGGCCAGCATGAATGCTTCACACCAGAGAAAATGTTCCTTTTAAAGGGGTCCACATTTTGCAAGCATGGAGAACGAAGGACATAACTGTGGCTGAGAAGACCCAGAGCTTCGTATGGAACGAAGGCCAGGTAGCTTTCATACAGCATTACGCAGCTGATGAAAAGATAATGCTGCTCGACTGATTCGGAATGATACCTCTGAAAAATGCAGAACTCAGACAAATGCACATGCATCACATTCTTAGTTAGTCCATTACCTTGTTACTTTACCTATCAGTGTAGTCTTCTTCTCACACTTCAGATGTAGTTTATACAATATATACAGCACATAGACTATATACTGGATTATATTTACAGAATATACATACTATACTAGAATTTATACTGCACATTATTTATTATAAATACAGTATATTTAGAGTATAAAGTGTACGGTTATATTCTGCATGTGATATACATGCAGTGTATATCGTAATTCGATATATATCGTGTTCTTTTGTATTTTATATATATATTGTAGGCTTCTATATATTTTCATGTACATCCAGTACAGTATTTAGCACCTATGTGAGCCTCTTCACTGCAGTGCTCGAGTTGACATGGGCCGTGTGACTTGATTTCTTCCACCCCTCTAAGGGGTAAGGGTGGCAGGGGGAACTCAAGTCTACACGTTATGCCCACATAACCTCTTCACATGGAATTCACGGCGACATCCTGTGCATGTAAAAGGTCCTCACTAGACAAAGCATTGAGCAGACTGAACGACAGAGAAACGTGGAGAAAAAGAGAAGCAGAGAGACACGGTACAGAAATATGAAGCGAGAGAGATGGCAACATAGTGAGAGACACAAATATACACAGAAACAGAGAGCATGTCTGTATGTATAAACATATTTCGCGCCGTACGTAGCCAACCACGTTAATCGGAGGTGTATACGCAAGAGACAGAGATGCAGAGGAAGACATGGCATGGAGAGACAGATAACTACACAGTGGCATGTAGACACAGAAAGAGATATGGGGCGAATTAGAATCATGGAGAGATACCTGGAGATGGGGAGAGAGCAGCACATATATACCCAGACGTAGAGAGAGACCGGGAGATGCAATTACGGCCCCTGGGCTGCACGTGGTCTTGTATAAACTCAGCAAAAGACAGAGATACACAGAGAAAGGTATACATAGATACAAACAGAGAATCGGAGAGACAGAGATGACATAGGCACATAGATATGCACAGAAAGATATTACCACAGAGAGATGTGCAAAGAGACACATATCTGGACAGGGTTAACACAGAGAAACACACACAAATGCATATACACAGAGACACGGAAATACATGGATTAAAAAATGCAGAGAGAGAGAAATTGAGAGAGACACCCAGAGGCACAACAGGGTTATACAATTGCAATCCCCAGGCTACTTGGCCTTTGTAGATATGGAGTCACTGAGCAAAACACACAAACACATTACAGAGAGAACCATGCAGACAGAGAGAAGAGATATGTATGCAGAAACATGAAAACACAATGAGAGACACGGAGAGAGAGAGAGAGAGATACACAGATATACTTGCACATAGAGAGAGGCATGGAGACACACAGAGAGCAACACATTAAATCTTGAATACGATTATACAGAAACATGTGGAGAGAAATGCCCAGAAAGGTTTTCTAGAGGCCTGGGGCAAACTGCCAGATGGGGCCCCCTCTGAGGATTCATAAACCATTTCTGAGACTCCTTTAAATTTGAGGCTCAGATGTTAATATGTATTAAATACAATCAAATCAAATACTTGTACATTATCATCCTTCAATAGCAATACTTTATTGCTGATTTCATTACAAGATGCCCCGCAGTGTTTTCTAACCTGGGACTTTTGCAATCCAGAGGCGTATAATTTTATGGGCATCAAATTTTTATCAAATCACGTTAAAAAAAAATCTTATTCAATCTGGTTCCACTCCAAAGTGTAGGCACAGGCTTAGTATTCACATAATACGATGCATACATGGGTGGTTAACACTCCTGAACACAACACAGGCAAGGGAGGGCCAGACATTAACCCCTGCCCTACAATATTTCAGCCATGAACCAGCCCCAACAAAAACTTGGAGGGAAGGGAATTAGGCAAGAACTGGCACTTAGGCTGTGAAAACCATAGAAATGGTAGGGAATTTGATAAATTTATATATACGTATAGAAATAGAAATCATTTGCGCAACAAACTAAAAAGAGTTAACTTTTTAACACAATAACAGTTCATTTGATACATTTTCACGAATAAACATCTGCACATGTCCACATACAAAAAATGTCCACCATTTTGATCTTTGCTTTAATTATCAGGACAACCCCATCAGTCTCTTGTGACCTAATCCAGGCAATCACACCAGTCGAATTTGAAGTTTTAAAAGGTTTAAATATACTATGGGAACCTCATTTGCCAGTAAAAATATGATTATTGGTTTTTTACCCTTCTATCTGGCAACAAAACTGACAACTTTTTACAAGGAGTCATGTTTGCATAGACCACAATACCTGCAGTCATAATACAAACAAAAGAACATAACTCTGATAATGTGCACTGTCCTTGAAGTTGATTGGTCCACACCCGAGACAGCTTTCCTTAGAGCCTAGTCTCACATGGTGTTGGACCTTTTGGCGTCATCTGGTCCAACACCATGTGAGACTAGACTCTAAGGAAAGCTGTCTTGGGTGTGGACCAATCAACTTCAAGGACAGTGCACATTATCAGAGTTATGTTCTTTTGTTTGTATTATGACTGCAGGTATTGTTGTCTATGCAAACATGACTCCTTGTAAAAAGGTGTCAGTTTTGTTGCCAGATAGAAGGGTAAAAACCAATTATCAGGTTTAAATATGTTTCAACAATTGTCTTAAAGTTGTCACTTCAACTTTTGAAATTAGATTTGTGTATTATTCTTAGATTAATGTGAAATTGACATGTATTTTTAAAAATAAAATTGCATATACAATATTGATGTTATTCCTGATTCCCCTTGTCACGTGATTTTCAGTTTCAGCAAACATCTGAGCACGCCCTCTTCTCCTGCTCAGTGGTGGACGTGTTCACACAACTCAACCAAAGCTTTGAGATCATCAAGAAGTTGGAGTGTCCTGATCCAGAGATTGTTGCTCACTTTATGAGGCGTTTTGCCAAGGTAAATAAACCACTCATCATATTCCCCACCTTCAACACCATGAAGGCTTACATTCTAGCTGGTATGCAGCATTCGCAGCGGTATGTACACTGGCACGGTTTGTTTTTTGAGATGGCACTATTTATGCCAGCAGTTATCTGCTCATGGTTTCCCAAAAAATATGCCCTAGTGGTTTTATTAATCTAAGGCATTGATACAGTTGACTATTATAGTCAACATCATTAAATGTAGTTATCGCAGTAAAGCGGTAGGCTGGTTCTCAAATGTAGTGAAGAGGAAAATGTTTATAGTCTGTAAGCAACTCATATTTTTGTCTGGTTACAAAAGCTGTCGCCGAGGCTTCGATATTCGTCCGTCTACTGTTTTCATGATGTGTCGTATTTGGCTCATAATGTACTCTGCGCCAATGATTAAATACACCTCTGCATCTACTTTTAAAGACGTTGAAACAAAATGACACGTGGATTTTAATGGTTTAAGGGGGTCCCCGATATATGCCGGAGTTAGGGACCGGAAAATTGCAACTTATAACGAAACAATGTTTCACCGGGAATTTTTCCCCATAAGAATAATGGGAACTGGGGTGGGGGAGATAGGGACCATGAAAGTGTAAACATTGCCTATGTGATGCAAAGCGGGGCAATTTCTCCCATGAGAATCAATGGAATAAGGTAGGGATAAGATAACCGTAAACTTAGGGAAATGTTGTGTTTCATACCTAGCAAACAAAAATACGTACTGTCTATGTACAGTACCTGTACTATACTGAACAACACATCATGCACACATTTAGAACCAATTCTGAGTTCAATAACCTTTAAACAGCATTTATACTTGTCAACCACTTCAGTGAAAACTTTTTTCTGAGCATTTCAAAGCAGCCCTGTAAACTTTAAAACGGTTTCCTTTTTTAAATAGAAAACGTATTTGTGCCATTGTTAAGCAATGACTGAAACGTAAAATAAGTTTTTGTGTAAAAAAGCACACAATCTAAAACAGCATTTTTTTTGTTTACCTTAAACTATTATTTGTATGAGCTTACCTTGAGGAGTGGATGAGATGTGCGTTATTGGAGGTGTTGGGAGTGGATTACACTGGGTCATACCCACCTTCTGCAGAAACGTTTTTCCTGAAAAAAAGTTTTTCATGAAAAACGTTTCTGTGTTGGCACCAGTATTTTTACATTCTTAAAACTACATCGTGCCTGAAATCTGTAAAACCCTCCACGGGCATGCTATTGTTGTGCAGTTCCTCTTTCAAAAACGCCAGCCATCGTAAATGTTTTCTACGATAATACTTCTTTGCATGTAATTTTAACCTCCAAATGCTTAAAGCATGCTTAGCTTTGCTTTCTATTTCATCAACATTCTTCACTATCGTACGTACGCTTGCCAGAGGAAGATTCAAATGGCACCCGACACCAATTGCACGTTCACCTTTTGTACTACGCACTGTCACCTGTGCTGTCACTAGCACTGCACTTGCTACTCATTGTTGAAGGGTTGCGACGATATTTTGCGATTCGGTCCACTCCGATTACAACACGATGGGACTGAGAAGACGGTGGCACGTGCACGAAATAAGTAGCAAAGAATGTGCGGGAAAATTTTACATTGGGTGCGGGGACCCCCCGGAAACAAGAAGAAACAGTGCCAGATTAGGCTCGTTGCGGGGCCTGTACAATGTATTTTTATGGGGCCCTAAATAAAAAACACATAAATATCAAACACAATTTTTTTACTTCCATCGTAAAGTAATTGTATTGTTTTTTCATTTGCTATACAGCCAGATAATACGACAAATCGCTTACCTTAAACACCCAGTCGTTCATAAAGTTGAAGGCGGTATAGTACTATAGTAAGAGCAAGTGCAGAATCACTGAACCGGAATTGATAGCTTGAAAGCATTTAGCGCAGGGCCCTTGAAAGTGCGGGGCCCGTAGCATTTGTAGCTACTTGTGCTATGAGGATAATCTGGCTCTGAGAAGAACGTACATAATTTGAAAAATTACAATCATAATAAATGTTTAACTTTTATTTCCACTAAGTATCTGAAATGTAATTCCTGTAGCACGAATCACTGTGTTGCTCCATCGTTGAAAATGGCACATCTTAAGTAATTGCCCATTTGTCTCGATTTTTCTCGTAGAGTTCAACAAACACAAAATAGTGTTTAAAATAAGATGATCAAGTTGTCAGTTATGTTCTAAAAAATAACCCTTGCCCTCCTATACTTGTCCCAATTTGTTTAAGTCAAATATTTAAGGCAAATGTATGTGATGGTGATGTGAGTAGGCACAAACCACACAGATTAATGTTACATTGTAGACTTGTTGTTCCACTCAGCCTTACAGTCACTGTGGTCTCTAAACTATAACAAAAGTTATTTTCCGTGTAAAAAAGTTTTTTAAATGTAATTCGTGTGAATGTATCTTTAAGGAATGTATTTAATACTCTGCCACCACCGTTAACTCTTTTGTTAACTCCACAAGCAAAGCCTCCTAATGTAATGTGTGCTATATTATTATAATTATAATGCTTTGCTGAAAAAAATCTAAACTTTATTTGGCAAATGCACTTTTAGTTTTGAATCGTGACACTTATAATTATATTGCAACTGCAGTACATTTCGACTTTTCAACTATGATTTAGAAAATTGTTTTGGAAAATATTTTTCTTTATTTCAGTTTTACACTCCTGGGCTGTATTAAATCCTGGGAACACACTGAACATTTCTGAATGTGTTTTTCAGACCATTAGCAAGGTGTTGATGAATTATGCGGAAATCATCTCCCAGTACTTCAAGGAATACTGCTCCCAGGAAAAAGTGGTAAGCGTGTAATGTTTGCTGCATCGGCACTTTCAACTTCAAATGTTCAATTAAATCACATTTTCGTTTCTGATGACTTAAGAGAATATATAATTTGTTATTTTCTGTAATATTGATATTTTAAAACAATGTAAACGACAGTGCAGAAATAAGACTGCCTTATCACTCCACTTCCTGCTGTTAAATAATACCAATCACAGCGGACAAAATATCACTCTTTCCACATTTCTTTGACTTATCTTTCCTCTCAATCCTTAATTATGTATTCCAAACACCTTCCGTCCTCACAAAGCTGCCACTCTCTTTAGAAACTGCAACCACACCTTCTCTCGGGATGGAACCCTAACCACTTTCACTCTTCTCCCCTCCTCACAGTTTTATTCACAAGCCACTGTCTATTATGCTATCTTTATTACATTTTCTAAGCAAGTACCAGTAAGCACAAGATAATAATTATTAACACCTTATTACTCCAAGACTCCATGTCCCTTCCATTCACCAGCGCCTTACCCTGATAGCAACGTCCGTGTTGACATTTAAATGTCCGATTGTAAATTCAGCGACATCAAATAAATGATAAAACCTTGAGCTCCTCAGCCTATTCTATCATTATTATATCCTAAATAAACTCTTGAGTGGCTGGCTGTCAGTTGTTCTACCACATCTTATAAGTAGTGTTTGAACAATCAAGCAAACAAAACCAGACCATTGCTATAATGAGCAAACATTCTCACGAGTTATGCGTGCACTGACAACTTTTTTTATAGAACTTGTTCCTATTTCTCCCCAATAGCTCCCCCTCATTGTGTCTCCCCTATTTGTGTACACGCCGAACGCCACTTCTTTTTTCCCCTCGGGATTCTTATTTGAATCAGGGTCTCGTGCCCAGCACCACTGAACTGACAAGTCCCCACGTGTCACGACTCTCTCCTAAGCCCAACAACACCCAGTAATGTCCCCAGCTATCTTAACTATGCCCACTATACTTAGAATTGCAAGGCCTCTTAAATATTGTATTATAGTGTTGATTTTATGCCATTTGTGGACTACTGAATGCATCCATAAATCTAATCTCTCTACTTCATAAGCCAACATAAGAGGAACCCATGTTTCAACCACAGAATGTAGCCAGTTCTAAGGTTGGGTAATGCTTGGGTTTCCTTCAGAAAGCCTTGATATAAACCCTGTCTCTGCAATGGTTGCAGAGCCTCACTGTTTCACTATCCATCTAATTCCAATTGATAAATCCCTGCAGCATGCTTCACCCCTCCGGATCCCACAAAATATTATTCAGAATGTACTAATTCCTAAATGTCGAAAAATATTAACGAGAATTATATTTTGGCTGAAACGTATTCTTTACGATTATACAGCCATACACCCATTGCATTTGAATTCCTCCTTAATGGAACCAAAAGAATCAAATAACCTTCCAATATTAGTTGAACATAACAATAACCAAAGGTGTAACAACAACAACACTCTTCATAGAGAAGTGATACCATTTAACACAGGTCTTATGAGAAGATTTCAAACGGAGAGATTGGCATTTTTAGAATGGAGGGATGTTTAGTTTGTTTCATCCCCTCATCACCCAGAGTGTATCTCTAAAAAATATTTATATTACCAGCGCCTCTTCAAACATACATTATATAATGGCAGGGTTTGCCCCTTGTACATGACGCCCACCTCATTAGTCTTACACAGTTGCACATGTAACAGCGACTGACAAAACAACCAAGGTTCGACTTTGCTTCACGTGAGTGCCTCACCCTCGTTTCCATCGATCGCTATCCACACAGCATCTCTACGTGCGAGTTCCATGCTCGGTCTTCCGACCTCGGAGAGCCGCTCGGCTCAGCTTAATAAATCTCCTCTTGTCCAATAAACACGGACCATCGTTTGTGTCCTTGCCTCCTGCTCCTGAAACACTAATATACATTATAAATGTACATTATAAATGTAATTCTTCCCTATACTACACGTAAGTATATTTACTCACTATTACCTCAAATGGGAATGTAATGCGGTAAGATGATGTTCTGTTGAACTTCTGCTTCTTCAATGCTTGCTTTTGACAAGATGCCCCCGAAATGCTGTTAGCCTGCCTCGGAATATTTCTTCTCCGCAATGCGGTTTCAGCTCTGGTCACCCAGACATGATTTTTAATGCAAGGGGTAAGGGCCTGCTCGAGCAGGGGTCCTTGCCTCTTGTTTGCAATCACCTCATCCATTTTTGACTCTTTGGATTCGCTTCTCTATTGGACTTCAAATTCCTTCATATTGGGGTTATCTACACTTCAAACCACTTTTCAACAGGTCATAAAATTCAATCGCATTTTCTGCCCAGCGACAAGATACACTTATGTTTTATGTTACGCAAAATTGCACACATTTCCTCCCAGTTTCTATATTTGATACCTTGTATCTCAATACAGCTCTAACTTACAGTGAGGGAAAAAAGTATTTGATCCCCTGCTGATTTTGTACGTTTGCCCACTGACAAAGAAATGATCAATCCATAATTTTAATGGTAGGTTTATTTGAACAGTGAGAGACAGAATAACAACAACACAATCCAAAAAAAAGCATGTCAAAAATGTTATAAATTTATTTGCATTTTAATGAGGGAAATAAGTATTTGACCCCCTCTTAATCAGAAAGATTTCTGGCTCCCAGGTGTCTTTTATACAGGTGAGATTAGGAGCACACTCTTAAAGGGAGTGCTCCTAATCTCAGCTTGTTACCTGTGTAGTGAGTTCAAGGAGACGTAGACGACGTAGTCGGAGGCACACTTATTTATTCAACCAAAGGGCACACAATACTTGAATGGATAACGGCCCCTTCACCCATCTAACAGGGAGACACCCCTAGCGCTAGCCCGGCTAGTGTGCTCCCAGGTCCTCCACTAGAGAGCTTGGGGAGGCTAGCTGATCCAGCTCTGGCCAAGCTAGGATCTCGACACCCTTAGCCAACCAGACCGGCTCTTACAAGAGCATCGGCTCTGGGCTCCCAGGGCCGCGCCGCTGGCTTGCCCTGGTCGGTCCTTAGAAGGACAGCGAGCTAGGGGAGTCCCAAGGCCTATCCTGCCGGTCTTCACTCTTCGCTGGTTAAGTTGTAATACTCGACCCCGAGCCCACCGGCTCCCCGCCTTATATAGCAACTCCCCCCCGAGGGGTGGGGCCGTGGGGGATCACAGCACCATCACAGCCCCCCAGGGCTAACCGTTGCGGACGTGGATGTAGCCACCCTTACGTGTGCGGGCGCAAACACCCCTTGTGTGTTTGTTTGCCCTCCCGTAACACCCCTACACCTGTATAAAAGACACCTGTTCACAGAAGCAATCAATCAGATTCCAAACTCTCCACCATGGCCAAGACCAAAGAGCTCTCCAAGGATGTCAGGGACAAGATTGTAGACCTACACAAGGCTGGAATGGGCTACAAGACCATCGCCAAGTAGCTTGGTGAGAAGGTGACAACAGTTGGTGCGATTATTCGCAAATGAAAGAAACACAAAAGAACTGTCAATCTCCCTCGGCCTGGGGCTCCATGCAAGATCTCACCTCGTGGAGTTGCAATGATCATGAGAACGGTGAGGAATCAGCCCAGAACTACACGGGAGGATCTTGTCAATGATCTCAAGGCAGCTGGGACCATAGTCACCAAGAAAACAGTTGGTAAAACACTACGCCGTGAAGGACTGAAATTCTGCAGTGCCCGTAAGGTCCCCCTGCTCAAGAAAGCACATATACATGCCCGTCTGAAGTTTGCCAATGAACATCTGAATGATTCAGAGGACAACTGGGTAAGAGTGTTGTGGTCAGATGAGACCAAAATGGAGCTCTTTGGCATCAACTCAACTCGCCGTGTTTGGAGGAGGAGGAATGCTGCCTATGACCCCAAGAACACCATCCCCACCGTCAAACATGGAGTTGGAAACATTATGCTTTGGGGGTGTTTTTCTGCTAAGGGGACAGGACAACTTCACCGCATCAAAGGGACGATGGACGGGGCCATGTACCGTCACATCTTGGGTGAGAACCTCCTTCCCTCAGCCAGGGCACTAAAAGTGGGTCGTGGATGGGTATTCCAGCATGACAATGACCCAAAACACACGGCCAAGGCAAGAAAGGAGTGGCTCAAGAAGAAGCACATTAAGGTCCTGGAGTGGCCTAGCCAGTCTCCAGACCTTAATCCCATAGAAAATCTGTGGAGCGAGCTGAAGGTTCGAGTTGCCAAACGTTAGCCTCGAAACCTTAATGACTTGGAGAAGATCTGCAAAGAGTGGGACTGTTTATAAAGGTCTGGAGATGGGCGTAGCCCAAGTGTATCAGCAGCATGGGCGGGGCAGCAATGCCAAAGCAGCAGCAATGCTAATGCAGCAGCAATGCCAATGCAGCAGCAATGCCAATGCAGCAGCAATGCCAATGCAGCAGCAATGCAAAAGCAGCAGCAATGCCAATGCAGCAGCAATGCCAATGCAGCAGCAATGCCGAAGCAGCAGCAATGCCAATGCAGCAGCAATGCCAATGCAGCAGCAATGCCAATGCAGCAGCAATGCCAATGCAGCAGCAATGCCAATGTAGCAGCAATGCCAATGTAGCAGCTATGCCAATGCAGCAGCAATGCCAATGCAGCAGCAATGCCAATGTAGCAGCAATGCCAATGCAGCAGCAATGCCAAAGTAGCAGCAATGCCAATGCAGCAGCAATGCCAATGCAGCAGCAATGCCAATGCAGCGAAGGGACACCAGGAAATCACTGCACCCCGCTCCACACACCACACTGCTGACGGTGAAGGTTCATTGACAATAAGTGGTTAATAACATCTTTCCAATGATAGCTGAGTCTATAACATTTGTAGACTATCATTATGGTTCAATATTAAGGTATACAAGAGGCATACATAATTGTATTAGATTGGGAAAAGTCATTTGCTAGAGTTGAATGAACATTTATTTTCTCCACCATGTAACAAATGGGTCTAGTCGGCACTTGTATTCAGCTCTGCTATTACATATGCATCCCTTGGCTAAGGTGTAACTAAGAATGTTGCCTTTCTTTATTACTTCATGCAATACCAGCCAAGCCTCTAGCCACCGGCTGCAAGGAAGAGGAATTTATCTATTTGCTGTGCTTCCTCGACAGGCATTGAAACGTATTATCTCAATGGGGTCCATAAATCGCACCATTAAGCGACTGATGTACAAGCGTGTATAACCTATGTTAATAAAAAAAAACATATCAGCAGCTTGAGCACCAAAGCTAACTCCAGACTGCCCGAAACTGTCACTTGCAGTTTCCTCTCCGGCAGGATTGGATATTGGCAGAGGCCACTGTTTCAGTGCTAGACCCCTTTAACTGCTGTTGTGGGATTTGGATTGACGTTTGGTAACTGTTGTGAACACAGACTTCTGCCAACTCCACATACTACCGATGGGTAATTTTCACATGAACCAAAACAATTTAACAGGGCAACGTTTGGAAAATGTATGCTGAACCTTGCACATTGCGAAGTCGGAAACCAGGGCCCAAGCCTGATGTAATCTTAATTCTAGATTTGAAGCTTTCGTGACTGCAAAGATTCATATTCTTAGGTTTTTTCGGTTAAGTCACGTAAGTAAAACATCAAAATAAAAATAAAATAAAAATAAAAATCACGACGTTGTGTTGCCTCCGAAACGTCGTGATTTTTATTTTTATTTTATTTTTATTTTGATGTTTTACTTACGTGACTTAACCGAAAAAACCTAAGAATATGAAAATGATGTAATCTTGTGGAGAAAACTTTTTTTTCATGAAAATATGAAAATGCCAATTCGGGGAACAGCAGAGTTGCTTCATCATCGCCATCATCACGATCCATGGGCAGATAGCCCTTGGGTGTCTACTGCACATCTCATCATTTGTTTTCACTTTCCTCTGTCTTGTGCCAACATGCTTAAGTAGTGCACATCTGTCGTCATCACGCCATTCTTTGTTACGTCTTCCTCTCTCTCCGGTTCCTTCCATTGTTCTGAACAACACACTTTGAATGTTCCTTCTGTTGTCCATCCTACTACACGTGTGTCCAAATAGTGCCAGTGTCCTTCTCATCTCTGCCTGCATCACATCTTCTGCTATGTGTCACCTTTTTCTTACTTCTGTTGATCACTCTTTGGATCTGGTTTAGACGCATTATCCTTCTGTAACAATACAATTAGAATGCCAATATTTTATCGCTGTCAGTATTTTTCAATGTCCAGGTCTCACAGGCATACAAAGCTGTACTGAACACGCACGTTCTTAAGATGTTCAGTTGGGTCTTGTAGCTGATTTACTTGCTTCTCCACATGCCTCACTACAAGGCAAATGTGGTACTTGAATACGACACATTTATTCCATATCTGTTAGCCTATCTTATCCCTTTCCACATTTATCCACATCGTCAGCACATTTTTAATAGGGACGGGTTACAATTAAAGAAAATAAAATGTTTAAAAACTATAATTTAAATAATGTTTTAAAGAATATATGAATGCTGATGTTTTTAACGGTGTGTTTTTTGTTGTTGTTGTTGTTGTTTCACGCAGGCCTGTTTCCTGATGAATAACATCCAGCAATTACGTGTGCAACTGGAAAGGATGTTCCAGGCCATGGGGGGCAAAGAGGTCAGCATCACTGAAATGCGTTATGCTTCCCCATCTGACTGAAATTAAAATTGTTTATCTTAATTGCTAGCACACATAAACGAGACAATTTTGATAATTAATGTGAGAAATAACGTTTTTTTGTAACACATTTAAAAATTAATATTGTACATTGGAAGGGGTGTAATACCAATTATGGATGGAATTCTTAAATGATGAATTAGCGAGAGCAATTAATACATTTTTCGACATGCAGCATTACATTTTTGTTCATTCTTATTGATAAAAATGTATAATTTGCAACTGTATAGAGTAAACTAAGATAAACAAATCTGCGTAAAGAATGGGAGTTACCATAGGATTAAGACAGATTACCATTGGCCATTCTATTTTGGACGTTTTCTCTTGGAAACTGCCATGCGAAGGTTTGTCTGCGGAGGCTTTTATTGCTGCACTCTCCGTCCAGACGCAAAATGAGATTTTTAAATCTCAAATCCAAATCTCCATTTTGTATTTGGAGGGCTACGTTTTTTTTTATCTACACTAATAAAAGCTTGTATCTGGAGCTCGTTTTTAAGAGAGCTGAATAAAAATATATTTGGCTATAGTTAAGGTACTGTTTAAAGAGTGTGATGCTAACGCAAATAAAAAGTGGTCAAAGCCTTCTTCACTACCAGTTACTACTGACTTGTAAACTCGAATAATTTTAACACATCCTAGATTGCAACCGTTATTCACTGCTGTACCATTATCGTACCATTATTGCAACATATTTAGTCTTTCCAATACTTCAGATGAAATCCAACATACTGCTTTTCGTTACTTAATTCAATTCTACATTAAACCCAACACCGTAGATATCATCCATACACTAAACAATACACCAATTAATACAATTAAAATGTACTTAAAGTGGCTTGCTTGCTTTGCTTAAGCTTTGTATGTAGCCACCTTGATCTGCTCCTTTGAAGCATATTCACGTTGGTTTGGCCAATGTATTGTCTGAGCTCTAAATATAATGATTTGGGTGTTGAACAATAAACATAGAGAAATGTAACATTTTTAATATATTAGAATCACAATCTTTATTTAAACTGGAGGAATCCAATGAGCTATGAAGATCGTTTTCACAGTTGTGCCAAATTGGGGCAGGTCAGCAAGTGACAACAACAAACAATATGCCAAAGTGTGAAGTTAAAATGCCTGGCCTTAACTTATTAAACCCTAATCTTGGACAAACAAATGTGTGTGCAGCCATAGATATCACCAGTGACACTTAATACAATTAAAATGTAGTGACACTGGTGTATCTATGGCTGCAAACATAGGTATTTGCAAACACAGGTATTTACAAAGAAATGAGTTTGCAGCCATACATATCACTAGTGACAGTGGTGGAGGGGTGAGTTGGGGTGAATGCAGTGCTTTCTGTGCATCTCTTTGATCGTTCGCTTTTTGTCTTAATGATAGACTTTATAATTCTTGCGATATAATGGCACCAACTGAATTTCCGAATACTGTATGAAAGAACAGGTTTATTATTGAATACCGCATTAAATAAGATAGCCAAGCATGATGTGCTGCTGCTGCTTTTCATCATCATAATAATCAGCCGTGATCTATTCACTTTGGGATTAAGGTCTCTCCATGCTTCTGCCATTACTCACAGTCGTGCTACAGCTATAGCTTCTGCAACAAGAACTAATCTCATTATCTCCTCAATTTATGTACTTTTAGGCATGTTCCCTCCGTTTGGCTGCCACTAGTTTTTGGCTCATCCAGGCTCATCCATTTTCTGTGACGCATGCTGCCCAAGTCCACTTTCTTTTGTCGAGTCGACATGTCTGCAACTTGCTGGCGTTCGTTGATCCACGTGTTCCTCCGTCACACGGTGTAAAATCCAAGCGTGCACTTCTTCATATCTCTTTGCGCGCACTTTTCACGTCTCGTTCCACTGTGTCATGACCGTGTTTAAAAATCCGTACGTCATGGCAATTAATATACACCGCTAAAAAAAACTCGGCAACATGAACTTGAAAATGAAAAGTAGTATACCATTTTGTAAAAAAAACATGTCGTTTTAATCGGGGCTTACCACTCACTTTAACATGGTTCAGAAACGTGGTCATTCGTGGGAATTTTGGAACAAAACCAAGCGTGTGCATAGAAGCGTGGAATGAATCTTTCTTGGAATTATATTGAAAGACAGAAAGAGGATTATAGAACATACACAGGTAAACGGCTTAGTTCAAACTAATTAATACAAGTGGGCTTGGGCAGGACACTTTGCTGTAAGGGATGATTGACGATGGTCAACAATAATGTGGCAACCAAGAAATGGAACGCATCTGATAGGACGTCCTCCAATGAGATGGAGCAATTAAGAAATCAGTTTGCGTTCAGGTGTTAGGTGGATTGGGGAGGCCTTCATCGAGTAGGAGAGTGACCATGGCTGATGATTATCATGATAATACAAAAACATTCTTTAGTTACATTGGTATGTTGATTTTTCTTATTAAGTTCAGGTTTTCAAAGCATCCGGCCTGCTCTTGTCCACCTCTATAATTCATTCTTTCCATCCTCTTTAACTGCTCCTAAGCATGTCGACTCTAATGTTATTTCCAGTTTTGTCCGTCAAACAGATATCATATTACATTATAATCAGAGAAGATCAGGATGTCTATTTAAAGGCTATGGTTGTGACATGGGCTTATTTGACCATTAGAGTCTAGACAATGGGGGAGAAAAAGATGAGAAGTCTAAGTGGGAACCTTGACACAGAGTTGAAGATATCCCGAGTGAAACAGCATGTTCAATAACAAGGGAAGATGACAATGCTTGTGGCCTGATGTAGAGTGCTGATCGCAGTTGCAGACGTACGGTGCGAAAGAAGTTCAACATACATAACTTAGTTATAACTGTTCATTTGAAAATACATTCAATGTAAAGATTAATACGTTTCATATGAATAGTTGAGCCATGGGACATGGCTCAAATATAACCCACAGCCCTAATATGGTGGAATTAATATTGATCAAAGCCTGACTTTTCAGAATTATAATTTTCTCTCTACTGTACTTTTTCTCCAGGTTATCCCAAGCAACACATTACATAGTAATGGAGCACATTACCACACAATTCTTGAAAACCGATACCAATTACTAACTGCTGGATTTTTTTATTAATATAAATCATCTGGATCCGATAGATAAAATCACGGATTTTATTGGATAATTTCAGGGTCCTATTTATTTTACGTACTGATTCATACGTTTATGTTTAAAACGCAGTGAGAACTTTCAAAGCCAGGCTAATTATTGTTACGTGATATGTCTGGCATACTGAAAATAATACATATCAGGTAATTAAATTTTACAACGTGATCATATATTTTATTAAAATGTAATAAATATGAACTATAGCATTCACTGTACAATAATGCAACGAAATACCGATTGCACATTTGAAGCCATAAAGCAGTGGTGGAAGACTAAAGGAATGTTCGGAAACGCTTGAAGAATTAATGTTACTTATAAAATAAGTATCTAGTTCAACAGATACGAGAGCACCAAGAAGATCAGCGTCAAATGGAATAGGTTTGCTAAATTCCATACAACAGATATGTGTATAGGTTGTATTATCCCTAGTGCACATACGAATGCCGTCTCCAACTTGCATTGTGCCCAGTGTGGGTTGTAAAAAAAAGACCCAGATTAGCTAGAGGCCAATATGTATTTGTATACTGTTATATTTATTCTTAATCTATAAAAATGACCAATAGAGTTTTTTTGGGTTAGATCGCGTAAATATATTAATGTGTCGTTAAAACCCACCACCACCCGACAGCCAACTAGTAAGGGTTGTCACGTAAACAGAACGTGCCAATTCGTCAATTATACAGCACACCAGTGTGTTGGAGAGCCAAGGCACAACACTGCTGCATCCAAGTCCTAGATGATAACAACATCAATGCTGCTTTATATTGTGTCTTCATGTGCTCACAGCCCAAGACATTGTACATTAACAGGAAATACATATTTAATCAAAGCATATAAAGGAAAGGAGTCATGCTGCCAATGGAGCCAGGGCAGAGCCAGGAGGAGTCCCCAGTATGTGGAATGGGTGCCAAGCAAGGTCCAGGAGACGGTGCTGGAACACGACCAGCAATTGGGATCAAAACAATAGAATACACAGTAAACGCAATAAACTAACAAAAAATAATCATGGAGGGATAACAAAGAAAGAATATCGCTTCAGGGTTTGTCAGCGGAAACCCTCAGCCGTTCAGCTGCCGAAGCCAATTGAGGAGGTGTGGACTACAAGGCAGGCACCACCAAACGGTGGCCATCTTCTCACTGTCCTGCTTAGTTAGTATTGATTTATTTTTTAAACAGCAATGTTCACGATTGACCACCTTATTCCAACCGTGAGACTGAAATGTTTTGGCATTTGCAAAAAAGGACCAGGCTGGTTTTCAAATTATCTTGGAAGAATGAAATAACGTGCAGAATTTGAAAACAATTTATCAGACTTTTCTCTTACTGCAAAGGTTGATCTACTTTTGTTCTTCCAGCTCAAATAGATCAGTCGATAAAGCAATTTAATACTATATACGCTACTTGCCTACATCATTTGCAATTTAATTCAAACTAAATTACAGTTTTAGTTCAATAACATTTAAAAGGTGTTGTATATCATTAATATGCTTTCTACATGCAAGTAAGAAAATATGTTAAACACTAACCAGCCCTCAATCATCAATAACACAAAACACTTGTGCAATGCCATTAAACACGTTACATAGTTCTAGCGTGGATAATATCCTTAAAATGTGTAATGCCTCTACAAAACCTTATAAAGAGCAGGTAAAAATCTCAATGGATATAAATCATGTTCTTATTATCCAATTTCCATCAACTCCTTGCCTCCAACATTGATTATGATGACATGATTTATATGTCTGCTCAAATCAAGCTTCAAATAGACTAAACTAATTTTTCCATTTGGCCCTGCAATCTCAAACTAGAACCACTCCACTCATAGTTTTGATGTCTACATTAGGACTGGTTACTTGCTGCTCCCTCTATCAAGAGCCATATATCAGTTTAGTTTGGCTATAAAGTGATGGCAATTAAATTATCTCCAGGTCTATATCGTCGATTAACTTCAAATATGACTGCAATTTATGTCAATTCTCCAGAGGCTATGGCCAAATGTGGTTCAAGTTTATGTTTAACCAGGCGAGCACTCAAGGGACCAGGAGAGTGTCATTTACAAGAGCGATCTGGGTCACTAAAATGATGAAAGCAAAACAAATAAAACAAGGTACAGCAATGAAGCAAATTGAAAATCTGAGCAAAATCAACCTTGTCAGATGGGAAATAGAAAATATTGCACGAACAAAAATCAATGTTCATTTATAAATTCCCTGTAGCTTCCATCAGCTCGGACAAATTATATTCAGACTGATCATAATATAATTACAATTAAGTTACAGAAACATTAAACAGATGTAGGGTGACTATTGCACTAATATGTAAATTGGCAAGGAAATATGTCAAATGGAATTGTAAAGTATAATTAAGAACCAACAGCTTTGGATCCAATTGTGATTTAGATGGGAGAGTCACAGAGGACATTTTTGATGCGATGGAATTGGAGGTGTGTGGGTATTGATCACAAAACGCGCTTGGTGCTCCCCATGCATCGAATAGTATCACATTTCTTTTACATTTAGCAACTATTCCTTCTCAGTATTTAATGAGCCACTCAAGTAAATATGCATTTGAGTAGTTAAGGTAAATATGTTTTCACTCTTTGGTTATTTATGGTTTTACTCAAAGTTCTATTTAAACTTTACATGGGTTAATATACCACATTTATAAATGTTATGAATGATATCAGATATATTTTAATGTATATATTTATTATTCTTGTTGTAAAAAATACTATTATTTTAATACTTGCTTTATTCCGATGTTTTTATGAGGATTGCACTTTCTTAGTTTTACTGAATTTGCTTTTCTGGGCCAATTGTCCCTTGAAAAAGAGACTGCGTATCAATGGGCTGTCATCTGGTTATAAATAGATGGTTTGATTGATTAAAAAATGGGTGTTTGCGTCAAGAGTACGGTTTGTAAGAATAGATACGTTTGCACAATGCGAGCCATTTCATTGCAGAAGGAGATACGAAATGTATGTGTTCATAAATGACTGGCGGCAAAGCATTGTATATATTATTAGGGTGGGAGAATGAGATTGGTAAAGTCAAGTACACGGGATGCAATAAGGAAAAATTACAAGTCAAGACATTAGAGTCAGCACTCAAGGGTCAGTAACCAATGGGAAGAGCTCCAGCCAGGTTGCGGAATACTGTGCAGCATTTGCAGGATATGACATAAAGAAGGAAATTAAGGAGTTTTATGGTGGCATTAGGCTGGCTGCATTGAACTCTTAATCTTTATTACTGATAAAAAAAACTGTATCCAAGATATCCCAAAGTAGACATGGACACATTTAAATTATGAATGCTAATACATATTCTTCAGGATATAATAACTATCACTTTCTTAACTAAAATATATAATTTTGGTCACAGATATAAGTAATATCCCCGATTCATATACGTTGTCCCCACTGTATAGTCTATACTCTTTGGTTATTTCGGTAAAGTCACGTAGGTACGACGTTTCGGGCGCAACACAAGCGTCCATCATCAGGTGGGAATGCTTGTGTTGCGCCCGAAACGTCGTGATTTATTTTATTTTATACCTACGTGACTTTACCGAAAGAACCAAAGAGTATGGATTCCTGCAGTCACGAAAGCTTCAAATCAAGATTGTATATGTTAAATCTGGAAGAGCAAAAAACAATACAATTATTATGCTTATTTCATGATAATTCCTCAAGATCGTACATATTTTCTTTTTTGCTGTCATGTCCTGGCCGCTTTGCACTTTGTTGGGACAATGTACATTATTGGAACAAATTTTGTTCACTTAAAAAAAAACCCAGTTATTATTGAGGATTTATTTTTAATAGAATGCGATGCCTGTATGATTGTAATTATGCTCCTTAAATGGTAGGGTTTATGGCTATGTCACTGTGCAAATGTTGTGGTTTGTGATGTGCTTTTATAATGAACACACTGTGTTTCTTACCAATAGCTTGATGCTGAGACCAGTGAGATGCTCAACGAACTACAAGTCAAACTGAATGGCGTTTTAGATGAGCTGAGCCGAGTGTTTGGCATCAGGTAAGGAGGAAACGTTACTTGTATATACATATTATGCGTGTGACAATTTTGAAAGCGTGTCCCCGTGATCACGTGTGACTTTAAAGTGATATTCATTCGTCATCTCCGAGAAAACGCCTTCATTTGTCAGTCCACTATTTGTTAATCCATTATTTACTTCATGCCAAGCAGCGATGGCACATGCCTGTAATCAAACACTGTGGAGGCATCGCACAAATGTTGTTCAACTCCCATCCCGTGGGGAACGAGGTGCCGTACCCTGCATTGCCAGATGAAGGCAGTACAGCAAGTGTATGAATCACGATCAGTTTCCATATGTACGGGAATAAAGTGTTGCCCCCTCACACTCCCACATTATAAACACTCATTAATTTGCTGTAAATATTTTAAAATAAAAACCCATTGTATGAACCTCCTGAAAAAGAATGCTACGACTCAGCGTGGCTATCCTGGATACAAAATTTAAAATGTAACTAATTTTGGAAATTTTAATACATTTTATTTGGGTAACACAATACAGTATTTCCTCATGTAATGTGGTAGGTGCATTCCTGAAAAGTGCCACATTAAGCAAAATGCGTTGAACGAAACCAAATTGCCACTAAGATGGTAGGAGAAAGAACTGTGTTACCCAAATAACATTTATATACTGTGTTATTCTGCGCGTGTACCCAAAATTCCTGTAGCAGTCAGCCCAACAGAGTAGAACGTTGTCGACCGCTCGTTCTGTGCAGTGTCAAGAGTGGGGCAGGGCCAGTCTCTGTTGGGTGGCTTGTAGACATTGGGGAGTTGTTAGTTCACCATTTCGGACGCTGATGCATCGTAACAGGTAGACTGCATAAAGGTTGCGATCTTCCACCCACACAGATATCAAATAGAGATATATACAGAAACTAACATGGAGAGACACAAGGTGACATAGAGAGACACGGGGAGATACAAATATTGATAGAGAAGATGGAGATACACTAACGAGATAGAGAGATACGTGGAAAAAGAGATAAACAAATGAAGATACAGAGAGAAAGGGAGGGATGCAGAGATACAGAGAGGGACACATACACAGGGATAGAGACAAGCACATGGAGACTGACACAAGGAAGACATGTCTTTAGAACAGTGGTTGTGCATCAAAAACCCCCACCACACTCTAAATAGAAAGCATAAGAGTGTAATAAATGTCGTGGAAGCGACTTCTCGATTCAAGGTCTTTATTTGTCTTTCGTTTTTTCTTGGTTCTTTCGGTAAAGTCACGTAGAAGGGAAGTAATAAAATAATAAAAATAAAACATAATAAAATTTTATTATTATTATTTTATTACTTCCCTTCTACGTGACTTTACCGAAAGAACCAAGAAGATGAATCCCTGCAGTCACGAAAGCTTTAAATCAAAATTTGTCTTTCGTTCACAACACTCTTCATATAAATTCCACTCCTATCTTACTCCTTCACGCTGCTGACAGACAGCGTGAGAGGGAGAGAGAGAGACATGCGCAGCCACGTGGCAGCCTGGACCCCGCTCCAGCGTGGCCTCACCCTTCGTTCCAGATCTGACCACGTGTTGTCCGTCTCCACCCCTTTTGATACCCGGGTCACGTGGTACCTTTCCACCAGTCCTGGTTAACCTCCATGGAATCTTCCAGACTCCATCGTACGATCCCAGGACCACGCCCTTGACTCGTCCCCCCATTGGCTGTGGCTAAAGCCAGCAGATCCAATCATCTACTTGCAGATGTCACCTTCCCATTACGTCAGGGCTACGCCCCTAGATTTCTCCCCATTGGCTATGGGCCAGGACCGGTAGAGCCAATCATCGTAACGAGGTGTAATCAATCAACCACTCGGATATACCCTCACATTACAAGAGTACTACTGGAACACACTTCCAATTATCGCCATATTTATTGTGCATACATGGAATTGCGAGGCAAATTCATCCAATTACCCACAGGTTTCACTGTGGGTATTGACCAGCCTTTTTCCCCAGTACGCACGTTCAGAAAATCTTCACAGATCGAATTATCCATTAATTTTTCGCAGATAGGAGTGGAGATAAATCACTCCCAATGATCAGCAATTATTTACACATTTTCCCACACATAATGAAGCAAGAATAATCGGCTCCGTGGTATTATTTTGACATTGCCGCACATAAATGTTGTCCTGTACAATGATTTTGCACCAAGTAACGTATCACATTTGAATGCATCTTTTTCCCTTTGTTTAAATGGATAAACAAGAATATGAATCTTATTTTAGTAACAAATAGCATTTAGCTTCAGTAATAGGATACTCCTCCATAGCGCAGAAACAGTGTTTCAGAAACCATGGTGGAATAATGAAGGGGATTTTAGTTTTCAATGTTAGTAGCATGCATGCCAAACAGAACTCCGTCAGTGATTTCTGAGGTTGCTCAAGAGATGTCATTAGATTCAACACAAGTTATTCATGCAGTGGTCACCAACACGCTCTGATCATATACATATATATTAGAACATGATTCCAGTGAACGCCATTCCAATGCTGGGCACTAGAGTAGTAGTCTCGTGTATATGATCGGAGTTTTAAAATTGGGATATCAGGGAAAAACAGGTATCAGATTTCATCCCAGACAGCAGCTTTGTAATGCCAAACTGTAAAGTTTTTTGCAGCATGTAATTACTCAGACTGGCAAGACCCTACATAAATAATATTACGCAGGGTTTTGGTGCATACACAGAATAACAAGTTCAAGAGTAAAAAAAGAGTAATACAGATTATCACTGGTCAACAAAAAAAAGTTTTTTTTGGCTTGGACTTTTGCAGCTATTTTAGACTAATTTCAGGGTGCTGATTCTAAATCTGATCTCAGATTTGCTCTATCACATTATTTTTATGCTATCGGCATACCCCATTTTCATTGATTTTACCCGAAATTAACTCTGTTGCGAGTCAGTGACAGCTTTAGTGTTAAAATATGGTGCTGTATTTCTATAATAGTGTGTTTATAATATCATTTTATGTAGATATCCACATTTATTTAATATTTTTTTTCTGCAGTTTTTATTTAAAATGCAATATTTGATATCTCAAAAACCTGATGTGATAGACAAAAACTGATGCCATATTTGTAATCAGCACCCCAAAATTACCTTCAAACCGGTGGAATACCTAACGCCAGAAAAAGTGTGTTGACCAGTGTTATCCTTGTCACTAGGTCAAACAATTGATTATAACGTTTCTCAACGTCATTCAAGTTTAACTCTACTCTTAGATATTGCACCAGTTAAATGTATAAAGAATATGTATAATGGTAGTATAAAATTATTGCTCAAATAAATGTTTTGCACAAATTTGACAGTACTTCATAAAAGGCCACATTGAACTTAAAAAACATACTGCTCCACAAGGACAGAGTACAAACTGCTTGATAATTTTCCACATTTTCAACAAAGAACTGTGATGGATTAAGTTATTGTGATATTTTGTTGCATGAATATTAATGTAAATCAAATGGTTTTTACATTTAAACCAAAACTAACTCAGGATAGAACATAATTCATAAAGGATTGATAATGGATTAAAGTTGCTATGGAAATAGCGTGCTTCTATTTGCATATGTATAAGAAAGGACGGGTTTTTAATCCTTCTTAATTTGCATGCATTCACCCGCGCAATGTTTGTTTTAGTTTTCGCCCACAAGTGGAGGAAAGCGTGAAAACAATGGCCGACCTTCTGATCCAGGTGAAGGGTGGAATCTCTGGGCAAGGGAACTTAGCTGGAGATGCTGACACTATTTTGCGTCCTCTCATGGACTTGTTGGATGGCAAGTAAGTGGTCGTCCTACCTTGAAGTCTTGATGCACTTTGCACTCCCATCACGATGTCAATAAATATACTTAATGAGAGGTTTACTCAACTCATGAAAGCATGGACGTCAATAATCACTGGGTTTGAAATGTTGAAGCTTTTGGCAGCAATTCACGTATAAACAGATAGGCTACTTCTTCGTGGCACAGCATTAAGTATTAATAGAAATACAGTAGACTCTCGATTATCCACGTTAATGACGGGGAGGATGTCCGTGGATAATTCTAAATTATGGATAATCAGAAAATATCCATTTCCCGCAGATCTCTACGCCAAAAACCATTAATATAGATATAAATTACTTTTTAAGTGAAGAACATTGAGTTTGTTAATGAACAACATACACATTTGATATAAATAATAGATTGATCTTGTTTTATCACAAAAGTTAATACAAAAACACACGCAAACAAGTTTGAAAAATCCATTTCTCTGCCATCACAGTTTCGAAAATTAAAACTCACTAAAGACATCACTCCAAATGAAGCACACCTGACAAATACTAACGATCAACCAATCGATGCGCATGCTCAGTGATAACGCTTTTCTGATCCCGCGCAGAAAACTCTGCCCACTAAGTGGATAGCAGAGCCATGCCAATCAAAATCAATCAAGTTCCGCCCACTATTGTAAAGATATGCAACTACTGTACTGTAGAGGCAATCACGTGGATTTCGGATTAACCACAGCACATATTTGTTTGGTTTAACCACGTGACTTGTAAATCACTTTTCCAAGAATAACAAAGTATTACTCTTTTTAGATGATTAATTTGGGCTTAAGGGAAAATCCATAAGTTATTAATTGATGTCAACACGCACGGATTGTTTAAAGTCAACTGTCCTTTTAAAATAGACTTGAGCCAAAAATGTGGGTTTTTGTCCACAAAGCATTTGTAATATTATTTGTTGGTCACATCCACCAATGGAAGCTGATGGAGCATTTCTCATTTTGCACAAGGCTTGAGGGCCTTGCTAAGTTAAATACAAATTATATTTAAGGCTGGCATACTTAAAGAAAATGTTAATTGAGGCCAGCTCCTGTAGGCTCTCTTTGGAGGAATGTTTCTTGTGTCACAAACAAGTTTCACCTGCATTAAAATCCACGTGTGTGTGTGTGGGGAGGCCAGGCTTTGAGACAGCTTGTTCCAAACCAATTTCTGGCATGCTGCTTAGCTCCACCCGCTGAGAGAAATACTTAACCATTTGTATTTTAAAATGGTCATGCATATACACGTGTGTCTTTTTACACTAAAACCCTAAGTAAAAAAATGCCCAGCTTTGGCACTAGTTAACCCTGGAATTTAACAAGAAAGCAGCATGAATGGTTCCATATTTTTGTATTCGTGGCTATTCGCATGATGAAGCAGAGTTTTTATTTCTGTAGGATCTGAGAATAGTGCTGCCCCAATCCACCCCCATATCAACACAGACAGCAGCACCGCTGTGCACATGATAACAATATGCAACAAACACATTGTTTATTGCTGTGGCAGATTTTATCGATATAATTTCACAAGATTGTCCCTTATTTCGAGGTATCCACATTCATACACACGCTCACCTCAGTGGTCCTTGTGGTCCACCACCAGGGAATTGTGCATTAGCATGTCAATGTTTTGCTGAGGCTATCACATTACCACCCCGGGTTCTGTGATCATAATGACAGAATTTAAGTTTATTTCGTTATTGAAATAAATGTGTTACATTTAGTAAAAAACAAACATGTTTTTCTAAACAAGGATATTCTCGTGTAAAAAAGTGATTCAAGAAATAACGCCTATTCCTCAACCCGTCAGCCACATGACCTTCTGGGAGTGTATATTTCATCAGCATTGATTCATTACAAGAAACCCCTGATACGGTTTCAACATTCGGTGTATTATCAGTCCTCTGGCTTGCTGGTTAATTGCCCGATTTGTATAGGCTAGGACCCTTTCTTTAAGAAATGGCTCTTAGTTCAACACAAAACTATAAAGTACATGTCACAAAATACTAATTAACCATGATTATTCTGAGAAGAGACAAATTTGGAAAAGAGTCAAGATTGTGTTAACATTCACCACTTCAATGCTAAATGATTATTTTGTTAGTTAGCATTTTCATTGTTTAAAGATTTCTTCACATTTTGGACAATTTTGTTACTTTTTTGACATGATAGCTTAACTTGGCTCTATGGGCTTTGCTCATTTCCATCAAGTTAACGTTTCATGAGCATTTACAGGCAATGTTTGTTTATTTGTGTGCAGTCTGACACTGTTTGCCAAGGTATGTGAGAAGACTGTGCTGAAGAGAGTACTCAAAGAATTATGGAAGATCGTTATGAATACCATGGAAAAAAAGATAGTCCTGCCTTCCCTTACTGATCAAACGGTAAGAATAGTTGCTGCCCTAAGCTATACACCGTCTGATATTCACATGATTGCAATCAGAATTTAGTTTAGGTATAAGACAGTTGCTTCAGAGGATTACATTTTCTTCTGAGAAATTAACTATTGGAGTGATCATTAGCTAGATTATATTTCCAAAAGAGAAAAACACAGTGATTCTAATGTTGAAGACATTCATTCACCAAAAATAAATGTAACTGCTAATCACTTTAAACAAAAAATGCATTCCGTTATTTGAGGTCGGCAAGTTAGTCAAGGAGTGGGGGTTTTTTAATATACAAACCGCGTTATTGTGCAGTGGAGCCATTCCATTTATCTTCACACATTCTTGCCTGGAGGGAAGTGCATTGTGCACTGGCTGTGTTCTACAAGGTCCACTGAGGGTAGTGCTTAGATAACAGCTGGGCCATAGAATGGGGGGAGTCAGTAATTGCCCTAAATCCATGGCATCTCTGCATGCGGAAACAGTGGTGGCTCCAATTTGCGGAAGCTACAAACTCTGCCTCAGGTTTATCAGTGTCGGGTAGGCTTGATAATTTGAATGTGTGTACAAAACATGATAATCACCTGGGCTGGGCATCCACCATAAATGTCCTTCTCGGATGATACATTTGTAGTGTCAACGATTCAGAGACAGAGTTTCTAGGAGGCACCTTCTTTATTAACAACTTTCACGGTCTCGTCCGCACACTCTCCACTGTAGCTCAGCCCAGCCTGTACACAACACTAGCCATCTAACACTGACGGCGCTGACTGAGATAGCCAACTACTCTCCTTCGTAGCGCAATATCTAGCGGAGACGTTTAGCGACGACGGAGACGAGACGACAGCAACGACGAGACGAGTCCGTTCCCAGAACCGGCAGCCTCGAGCCCCCGCTCCTTTTATGCTCCCAGCGCGGCCTGGCTCCGCCCTGACCGCGCCTCCCTTCTCGAACCCGCTAGCAGGTTCCAGGGGCCTCCAGATGGGGTCCTCCGTGACCCTTGCCCCAGTTCCACCGCTCTGCCAACACACCGGTGCTCACGCTCACCGGCGTATGTACTGTCTGTCCACCACAGCTGCTGCTGCTGTCCAACAGCCAGCGCTATTACACTACACTTGTATATGCCCATCTGGTTGAGATTGTACTAATGAAGTAACTGCTATGGGTGTTTCAATTATCCATTCACTCGTGTGTCACATAAGACTAGAAAACCCTGCGATGGAATTGGTAGCATCTCAAAACCGGAGCCAGGGGCTACCACTGCGTAAAGGAGGCAATATACTTGTGAGGGAGTGCACAGTTGGGTGGGTGTTGGCAATGCATAGCGAGCCTTTCCAAGCATCGGTAGCCGTCACCATCAATTTTCATCCATCATGCTCAGTCTGCTGCAAGGCAGCAGATGTTCTTAAGGGAATCGTGGCCTGCTCTGACCTCTTAAAAATTGGCCTACCATTTTATAAATGCGTTATTCCGTAGCCTTTGTAAATATTTGGCAGGCACGGACATCTAGCAATGATTCTATACCCACAGAATGTGTATTTGAACAATAATTGTTGAGAGTGTGTACACCTACCGTAATTGCAGGAGTGTACACGCATATATATAGACACGTGTGCATACTAAACATTGTACTATGAACACCTATTGGGGTCAAGAGGTCATCGTGGACAATCCTTTTATTCCAAAATACATCTCACTTTCTTCTCGTAGACCCAATAGCTGTATACAAATTGACACCAACCCTCAAAGTCCTCGTCTTCCAGCATCTGCCTATGGGTATCACCGCCAATCTCTGGGCACCACTCTAATCACCCAATTGTGTCCGTTACCATTGCAACCTCCCAATTTCTGATTACATTGAACCATACGGTGACACTGTCATTGGTCCTGCATCAAAAAATCTATCTCATGCAACTAAAGTTCACCCATCTACTCATCCATATTGATTTTCTTAGTCCATTAAACCATCTTCCCTTGAAGGCCTCCAGCACATGCTAATTGAGATTCTCACGGTTGACCCTTGTTAGTAAAATTTAAGATGTAGGGGGTTTACCGGTCCCTTGCATCCGTCCAGCGCCACCATTCGCCACTCTGGTGCATATGATCATGATGCCATGAGAGTAAACAGATAGCTAGCATTACTGACGTGTAACCCACGACGGAGTTGCAAATTATGTTGCTATCGATCGACACTCACAACAACACCCACAGAAATAAATGCATACATGAAGCACGCATACCACACGGATATGTAACTGCCTCTGCTGGTTTAACGGCAGTAACCCTATCTGCAATTCATTGTCTCATTACTCCTAATTCTGAACCTGTTGTGTATTATGTAGCTGTTTTTCTACTACTATAATATTCCATGTTGAACATCATATCCATCCAGTAAATTTTAATCATGACTGCTGTATATTCCCCCATGCACCCCTTGACCTCCCTCAACCCAATTGTTGCTCACCATTTGATACTACGACTATGTGGTTCTTGATATTGCCTGATTGAGCAATGGATATTAATATATTTTTATTACACGCTTTGATTTAACTGACTATCTGTTGTCGTATCCTCAAATCTTGTAACTCAGTTTTTACCCACTTCCCAATATGGTATCGACTGCAAACTTGGTATACGTATGCCATACTGATGACAATACTATATTCTATCGTTGAAAAAAATAATTTTAACAATCTTTTTTACATGTTATGTTTCGGCTTGGGTCTAATTGTCCACGCTCAACTGACGTTGGCTGTAAATCACCACGGCCCCTTACACTATGGCAGGCTTCGGGGCCACCTCCTCGAGTTGCGGAGTTCTGCCATTACTCGTACGGTACATTTCATTAAAGCGTGTTTATAAAAAGAGTATTTTTCAATATTACTTTTTTAAACTCTAGGAGACTCTGTTTGACCCTGAGGCATTAGCAACAATTCTCAAAGATCTTAATGGTTCCATCTACTGTTCTCTTCATGTATTAGTAGCTGTCCGTCTCAGACAGTACCACATGAATCTTGAGCTCTTACACCTAACTTGGTACTTCAAGGGCAAGGTGGTCTGTAATTGGACACTGCTGCATAATTTTCTATGCAACCATTATTACCATCAGCCTGAATCTACTGAAGGGATCCCCGAAGCAGTTCTGTGATGTCACCTTCTAGAAGTCATTCTCCCACGAGGCATTAGACAAGGCTGTCCGTAAACGCCGTGAATGTACATTTCTTTGCCTCATGATACCGAGGAATACAATTGGAATATAATCCATAAAATACAGTTTCCTAATTTTGATGATAGATGGACCACACAATTATATCAGAATACATGCAATTTTATGGAATGTGTTTTCTTTTCAGATGCTTTAAAAATATATTTGACACTCATAGTGTAGGTATGGTTTCTGTAAACAATTATATTACACATGTCATACTGCTTATTTATTTATCATGGGAAACATTATATAGTCATTTACATTTTGTGTTTTAGAGGTCTCAATTGTGTGTTAAGGGGGGGTGAATGTATATTTACACAATTAAAGTAACGTGTATATTCAATTGCAATTCTGGCAGCGTGTGCAGTACGACATTAAGTATCGGTGTGTAGTCGTCGACCGTTCACATTTCATGTCAAAGGAAATTCATTATTTTATAATTTTGCTTCATATCCAAAAGTTTTTTTTAATAAACCACCTTTGCTTCATATCCACAAGTTTGGTTTAATAAACCTCTTTTTCAGGAAACATTAATTATTCACGTACACATTTTTTCTTCAAAGCAGTTAGTAATTTCAGTGAAAGTAATAATGTTTGCATCAATCTGCTCCCTTGCAGTTTGTAAAAACGTGTTCTTGGTGCATCTTAGTATTCTTACTCTGTAATGACAGGGATTTCCATGAAAGGACAACGACTCATTAACACCTTTCGCCTGTTTGTTTTTAAGGGAGCGCAAATGATATTCAATGCCGCTAAAGAACTGGGACAACTTTCAAAACTGAAGGTACAAACACAAATCATTTTGAGCGCTTCATGAGGTGGAGGGGGCGGTGATGGTTCGCGTTCGCCGCTTGTTCCAGAGGGTCGCGGCTCGTAGGGGGCGATTATAACAATCGTCGCGCCCTCTACTGGCAGCCTGACTTCTTATTTGCAGGTCAAGTCAAGTGCCGAGTCACCCTGTGCCGAAAGGGGCAGCTGCCACTGGGCGGGGGGGGGGTCCTTTCAAACGTTTGAGATTAGATGTGATGTAAAGCACTCTGAGATCCCCTGGCATAATAGGGCACTATATCAAAACAAATCAATATCATGACATGAACATTCCATTTAATTATACAAAGTTGAAAAGTATGCGTGTGCGTGGATTCTATAGCGTTCCAAAATGCGTTTCATCGGCAGTATTACATTCTTTAGAGAATGTATGCACGTCAAAGACATTGTATTAACTGTTAAGGGATGTGCATTAGGCTTTGGCAGGACACATTACTGGTAAGGATGATGGCCCGAAAGTCAAGAATAATGATGGAGTGGTTGCCAAGGTAGGGAACATGTCCGAAAGGCTCATCCAGCAGAGAGATGGACTGATGCATTAGCCCGTGTGCAGGTGTCTGTATGGATTTCTGCTTAACAGAAGAGCCGAGCGCTGGCTTGGGGACGCCTTCAGCGGTAGATGGATCAGGGCGGATCATGCCCAGTACTGGCATCCCATTACAACATTGGATGCACGCGAATAGCGTGTGATGTCATCTCCATGGGGAAAGGGTTTATTTATTTATTTGGTGCTAGTTTTTCTACACATTACCAAGCTTTAGACAACCATTTGATAAATGTGTCCAGATGTCTATAGTGTAAGTCGTTTTTAGCAGCACAACTTTGTAATAAGATGTATTTAAAGACTTATCGTGACCCCATTTTAAAGAGAGATGGACATCCATCCAGCAGTGGATAGACAATGGATGTTGATAGTAGTGATGTTGACAATGATGATGGTGGAGCTCTGGGGATGCAAGAGGGAATGTAAAGTATTTAAAACAAATTAAATGTTTCCAGCGCCATTTGCAATCAGGATAGAGTATACATATGATTTAAACCTTGCAAGAGCTGATTGATAGGTTTTTTGTGAGACTGTCCTAAATCTAGTAGTGCATTTCAAGATAAAATTTCTTCCATTGTCTCTATAGTCTCAGATCAGTGGATTGCAGGATGCTGAGTAGCTTCTTGAGAAGGCAAATTAATTTTGGAATAAAAATAGGCAATTAAAGAATCAGTTTTATTGCATTTCATGAGTTACATTAAATATTGTTTTATATGTATTACTAAAATGTGTATCTGGCAAACTTGTATTTAAAATACACTTATTACAGACACATTATATATCTGTATTGCTTATATTGATTTTAGAAACATGCACTGATTTTGGCTATATATTTTTTATAATTATACCATTTATTAAACAAAAAATGTTTTGTGTTCAAAAGCACAGATATTCATGGCATCTGTATCGTCCTTGAGATGTATTTTGTATGCCATAGCTGAGAGAGCAAGACTGACTGACATTGTAGGGAGTTATTCACCTTCATTGTTGATGTCTGTGGTTTATAGAACAAAGACTAAGGTACATTTATGATCTCTAGGGTTTGAAACATACAGGATGTCACAATTTTCAAAAAATGTGTTATACATTGACTTCCCTCGTAAGATATTTGATATTAAAAAGTAACACTGCGGCATTTTCTTTCTTCAACACCAATATGACCGTTGTAGCGCTGTTAATAGATGTGCCTTGAAATTTGCAGTGCATCAGCTGTGACATCATGACGTCACGTGTGAATTAATATTGCCAGCACTTCCTATTCTCCATGTATTTTTCATGGATTAGAGGGTTCACTGTGGGTGCTAAATTATATGTTTAGTAAATATAGTTACTTTTTGTAACGATCCATTAACCTAGTTTTGTGATTAAGTTCATTACTTGCGTATATGTGCTTTTCCTATAACATGTTATCATTTTGTGTGACTATCTTGATGTAATCCAGGATCACATTGTGCGGGATGAAGTGCGCAGTCTCACACCCAAACATTGCGAAGTCATGGAGATTGTGTTGGACACGATAAAGGTACATCTCCAATAAGGATACATACAGAAGATGATACAACATACATCGGCGCAAACAAAAGCAATGGCAATCGTACAAAGAAGCTTAAATTATTACATATTCTCGAACACCTGCATGAGTAATGCTGCAGTCACAGACCGCGGGGTTTCACACTTTTTATTATCGCGTAGAGACAGTAATGCGCGCATCTTTGATGGAGCCTTTCTTTGGCTGCCTTTGCTGTGTATTTGACAGGGGTGGCTTCTGCACAATGTTGAACACTTCTTCGTTTCAAATACAGTCTATTCTCGTAATGTTTAGCATCTATCTGTAGCAGCCAGGTATGAAGGTGTCAAAATAAGCACACATTCACTTTGTGAACACGCAATCCTCACTGTCTTCGAGTAGCGTAGTGAGTTATGTAGTCTGACATATTTCACAGCTTGATATCCATGGGTAGCTCTTCCAATTGCAGCAGCTTTATCATATTTAAAATAGTGCTCCTCCATGATTGTTGTCTGCAGATATTAAGGTCTGCCAGTAATGAGCTTATGGATCACTAGGTAATTGAACTCTGCAGTCTAATGCCCGGTTCCATTCGGAAGGTGTGTTTTGTTGATGGGCTGGGATTACTATGAACTTCAGCTTTTCCACTTGAAGTCCCACCAGGAATCTTTGTTCTGGAGGGCTGGTAAAGTACTCTCATGCTTAATGAGATGTGCTATCTAGGAGGTTAGTACCATCTGAAAAGTCCAGATTGTCTTGGATTATTTTTTATTGGTAATGAGTGGGAGGACCATATCTTTGAAAATATTACATATTATGTAATCAAGGACCACAATGAGGATAAATGGAGCCAACGTTTCTCCCAGTGTTAAAGCTTTACTGAACTGAGTATATTTCTACAATACCAGGTAGATATTTTTCCAGAAGTAACAGACAATCTGACTGCGATTAACAAATTAGATACAGGTAGAGTTTAATTTGAGCTAAAATAATGTCTGAACAGCTCACTTTTTGAACTGTCAGTCATTCAACTTTGTCATAGACAACAAACTTTAGTTGTATCAATGGCAGGTGCTGTCCACGGGGAACTGGAATTCAAACATAACATCTATGCGAATCAGCTTCGTGGCAAGCATTCTAACAAATATGCTGTACGGTTGTCATTCAACATTGAGATACATTTCCAGACTTCTGTAATGTTGTGTCTTGTCTTTTTTTGCAGCAATACTTCCATGCTGGAGGGAACGGATTAAAAAAGACATTTTTGGAGAAGAGTCCTGAGCACCAGTCCCTGAAATATGCTCTGTCCCTGTACACTCAACCTACGGACACACTCATCAGGACCTTCACCCAGACCCAGACGACTCAGGGTAAGATGAATGGTGCACACATGCTGCACAGTGCCGAGAGGCACACGTTACATCACGCATTTGTACATATGCAAAATGCTTTCAAATACAATTCAGGTTATTCTCGGAAAATAATGTAAAGTTTCTTCTGTTTGAATCATGTTGAACAAAATTGTAAAACATTTTCCCATTGATATCTACCTATATTTTTAGCATGTCATTCAACAGTGACATGAAATTTACTTTGGGTTAGTACAGGAATATAAATCAATTTACAATAAGGAAATGCATTTAATCTGGATTTAGTATACACTACGATGTAAACGTCGTCTTTCAGTCTTTAATATTTTATCAGCATCAAGCACGCAAAATTGTGGGTAGAGTTTGCTGCGGTTATATTCATGTTTTTGTGTTGAACGTTTTTGCAGATAAACAAATGGCTCTGCATTGCAGAGCTTGTGTGTGAATGAAATTGAACATAAACTTTGATTGTTTACCAACGGTGGAAATCGCTTGACATTTTACAGTGCGCCCCAGGGAAAATCCATGTATAAATGCCACAGAGAAATTGCACCACTATACGTGCAGCAGTTAAACATTACAAGTATTGTGTTTATATAAAAATAGCTTTCACATTGTATTGAAGAAAACCCCCCAAAATGATTGCATACTAATAACCAATACATTAATTTTCATTAATTTTGTATGAACAAATGTGTGATCGAAGCATGATTCAGATGGAGATAAATTCAATATTAAATTTGAAATTTCAATAGATATGAATAAGGTAACTTTAATATATTTTATTGTTTGCCCCAGGGGTGTTTTCAATTAAGGTTGAAATATTGCCGTCATGAGAAACAAACTTTAATTAACGCGATCTGGCCAATAATTATTTGCTTGTTTTTTTTTTATATGAATATCCACATATTTGTTAAGCAACAATGTATTCCTATAGGATACACATTTTATATGCTTATAGGAAATATTTGCAGCCTTACATTTAATTATAACCCCATAGTCAAGTTACACCAACCTTAAGGCTTTATAGACGGTGCTTTGGTACAGGTTGATGTACAAGTCTAATTTAAAGGTAAACAAATAATAAATTATATGTCACGTGGTAGAAAGGAAAACATTTTACTTTTGATACAATACCTTCAAAGTTAAAAAGTATCGTCATACTAGGTCAATTACTGGAAATTATAAAGTCATGGTGTAAGAGTGTGAGTCATAGAATAAAACTCATACAATGATATACTTAAGAGCATAATCGAATAGGGCTAATTTGAATGTTGTTCTTTTCCCTCTGTTGATGGGAATTCTACCGATGACCAGGCACAGGTAAAGTAATATGACTGTGGAACTTGTTTCAGGATCACAGCTTTCTGCAGCTTGTGCAGAGCACAGCGAATGGTTGCCTCATGGCATTAGCCATTGTGACCAGGCAGGTTAATATGCATTTAAGGTATTTATGTATAGGGTCTCTGATTTCAGGTGATATAATGACAAGATTGCTAGAGAGCCTTGGTAATCGTAAAGAAATCGAAATAAATCTGGGACCCTATATGTGCGCTGCTGCTATTCATTTTTAGTACATTATAACAAAGCACATGTATAACAAACGAATATGCTTCATAAACATTTGCACTGGACAGCTTTCTCGACGATGCCCAGTCCGCCAACATGCCGCTGGCTGCATGCTTATGTGAGACAAATACAGCCATTTTATTTCTGTCTGAGAAGCCATGTGATGGATGTGCTATAGCTTACAGCTCACGCCTACTGCTCATCTGTCTTGACAGAAAATTGTTTGACATCCCTGTTGTACAATTGCTGTCAGATGTGAAATATTTACCAACCGCCATTGAGTACCTATAACAATTTACTACCATATTATTTTTAAAGGAGGATTTTAATAAAAATAACAATTTTGACTATATTTCATGGAAAATTACGTTTGCAAGAATGATGATGTCCATGTCGCACATCAATTCTTCATAAGCATGGTGAATGGCTCACATGGATTTGTGCACATCACTGGATCAATTCCAATAATCATTGATAATGACACGGATAGAAAACACTAAATCTGTTCTTAAGACTTGGTGTAATTGGCTTTAATGCTACGATATGCATTCAGTTAGCTGCTTTGGATGGCACATGCATGTTAAAACAATTGATAACCATGCTATTCAAGCTGCTAATTAATCTCACCACGTTGATCACTGCATGCCTCGAGTTTTGTGCATATTTGGCACGCCTTTCCCTGTTCATCATTGTGAATATTCGTGTGTATATATTTAGTGTGTATTATGTAAACATGTACAACCACATAAGCCTTTTTACCGCACTTTCCATATGCCTTTATGTGGACATCTGTAAAAAGATGTTCATAGCTCATTGGGTTATTACAGCTTAAAGAAAACGTTTAAAAAATGTATGTGTAGTCCTATTTATACACATCCTGTTATGTAAACATTTATACTCATTAGGTTTTGTGTGAATATCTTCTGAAATGCCTGCATGGCTATGCTGGTTCCATTATTATTTGTCAGCCTGCTCCTCCTTGATGCAGGGGCATTCCTTCTCTCATAAACGTTTTAGCGATGGGCTTCGCCAAGGTTCCATTGTTGAGCCACTCAATGTTTTCTTCTTTCACTTTGCCAAAACAAATCCGAGTTCAACGTTGACAACCATCTCCATGCTAATGACATCATCTATATGTTGCCATTGATTTAGTTGATCCTGCTTTGCTAGCAGGGCTTTCACCCTGCACCAACCTCGCCTCAACCTCATCGCTTCATGTTTTCTCCAGTGTAATGTCCAGAAATTGTTCCTTCTTGATTTAAGTTATGGACTTTCCATCTCTTCTCTGCTATTGACTATTTACTCTCTTTATAATTTCCCTACCTCTGTGCTCTTCCATCTTTATCCTAATCATCACTCCTTCCATTTCCCCCCTGGTTCTGTGCATTATCGGTGTTGTTCAATCAATCTATCATTGGAAATTACAGTAGAATTGGTCATGTTTGGGATTTCTTGTGTGGACTCTTTTGCGCTGCTGCTCAGTCTGCCCAACTTTTTAGTTTTATTATCTCGTATTTTTGTTATATGTGACGTTTTACGTTTGTATGTATGGTTGTATATGCTGGATATGTTTATATGGAACATTTTGATATGCTTTGAATAATTATCAGTAACACTGCCTTAAAAGGAAAAATAAGTAAGTGGTGATGTTTCAGGCAATGGTCCTTTAGAGCACTTAAATAGCATTCATATTTTTCCTTTTAGTACAGAGTTATGATCATTGGTTTTTTACCCTTCTATCTGGCAACAAAACTGACACATTTTTTACAAGGAGTCATGTTTACATAGACCACAATACCTGCAGTCATAATGCAAACAAAAACACAACTCTGATAATGTGCACTGTCCTTGAAGTTGATTGGTCCACACCCGAGACAGCTTTCCTTAGAGCCTAGTCTCACATGGGTTGGACCAGGTCCAACCCATGTGAGACTAGGCCAACCCATGTGAGACTAGGCTCTAAGGAAAGCTGTCTCGGGTGTGGACCAATCAACTTCAAGGACAGTGCACATTGTCAGAGTTATGTTTTTTGTTTGCATTATGACTGCAGGTATTGTGGTCTATGTAAACATGACTCCTTGTAAAAAATGTGTCAGTTTTGTTGCCAGATAGAAGGGTAAAAAACCAATGATCATATTTTTACTGGCAAATGAGGTTCCAATGGAGTACAGAGTTAGTTTTGTTAATGCAGTATCACTGCATAATTAGTTTGTCTTTTTATATGCTGTATAAATTCTGATTCTTATCCCTGTTACTTCTACACAATTACTCCTCTGCCTTAAATTGGTTATGTGTGCCTTTGCCTTTTTATGGCATGTGTATTGTGTACCCTTTTATGACTTACATTACTTTGCATCTGTGTCGACGAGAATATGTTTAGTGTCTGCATCTGCCTCCTTGTATGCCCGAATATATAAATGAGAAAACAAATTATAACTGAAATGTGTTGGCTGTGCATGTCTGGGTCTGTTTATGTGTGATGGACAGGTAAAGTTAAGGAGTCAGTTGGCGAGGTCTCTATACATATTGATCTCATCACGCAAGCTGGCACCAATGACCGCAAGATTACCGTCAAAGGTATACCAGCTACCTCAAAAGTTATAATAACACTGCCTTAAAAGAAAAATATATAATAGCGTATAATATTTCATCAAAAAAATTCTGAAAACAAATGAGTTTATTTAGCAATACATGTTGATTACTGAAGGGTTTGTCTGTTACTTAGGAGCTACTAATGATTAGACAACAATGCGCATGCAAATAAAAAAACTATTCATCAGGAGAAAATGTTGGTTTAAAGTTCAATCTTCAACTCTTATCTTCAATGCGTATTCATTGTATCTCTCTGGCTTCTCTATTCATGTGCAATTAAGAAAGGCCATTGCCCAGAATGTCACCTATTAGATATTTTTCTGTTTAAGGCAGTGTTATTGACGAATATGTTGAATGTTTCGATATTTGTGCTTGTTGCACCACTGCCAAAGCAGTAACACCAAATATTTTTTTCACGTAATACTACACATCTTGTTCATAATCATAATTTTAAAAAATATCCACACAAATACATTCTGGCTTTCACACTAAATGTGTATATAAGAAGGAAGAAAACGTATGCGTATGTTTGGATTCTTCAAAACTTTCCAAAATGCGTTTTTCCTCGGGAGTATATGAAATCCGCTAAATGAGGTTGATGATTTGCAATTAATGAACGTGAATTCTCCCTTATTGAAGAGTAATTAGTTGAGGCTGTTGAGCAGATCTCTGTTGCAAAAGAAATATATACAACCCATAAATCAGAACGACTCCCAGCTGAAGAGGTGTAATCAATCAGTCTTTATTTTACGTGCCAATATCACTCAATAAATTAGACATCAGTGTACATTACAGCAGAACAGGAACGGTACAGGAGGGGGCAGGGGGCATAGAGCAACAATAATTAAAAAAGAAACCTGTCACGACTTCAGCAGCAAAGTAAATTGCAACCGCGCGCAAAATAAAGTGCAATCGTGCACAACGAATAGCATAAGAGAGGTAAGTAGTAAATAACATAAGTAAAGAAACAGTTTTGTTTCTTAAATTGTATACTTCACTGGAAGGCAAATCTGAATGTGTCCTGCACAGACCACGGAATTAAGGAACGCTCGGTGCGTTTCGGACGTCCGGTGGCAGTGTTCCAGATTTTTGTGGCTGCACTTGAGAAGGCTCGTGCCCACCAGCAATGTCACACTTGAAGAAGTCAACTCTGCCCTTCGCAGTGTGAAAAAGGGTACAGCTCCTGGACGAGATATAATGCCACAGCTGTGGACATCAAAGAAAATGCGACCAACTGATGAAACACAATTACAATCGTTCACGAAATGTTTATGGAGAATTTAATTACCGCAATTACGGAATAGTGCCCCAATAATTATATTCAACAAGGAGATAAAAACAAACTTGAAGAACTACAGACTCTTTTCGCATATTTATACAAATTGTTCATGAATTCCATTTGGCTGTTGCAGCTAATTCCACTCCCGGCTTAGCCATGAGATGCGAATGCATACACTTGTTAAAAACCTTAAGCCAATAATTTAGGAAAGCGAGGTGGTACAGTCTCTAAAAAAAACCCTTGGCACAACACCACAATTCTCTCAGTGTTTCCAACAGTCAAATCAAAATGAAATAATACACAGTTAAAGACTGACATCCCTATCTCAATCCTCTCCCCTCTCATCAAGATCTTTGAGAAGATCCTAAATTTCAAACTTTCTTCTCAGAATATGCCCTATGCCATCCTAAGAAATCTGGCTTTCGAGAAAAATATAACACAGCCTCTCTGGTACACAATACGCCTGACTGCATCTTCAAATCTTGAATCTCGTCACCATTGTGCATTCATATTCCTCGACCTGTCTAAAGTATTTGACACTGTGGATCATGCTGTAGTGTTGCAAAGGCTAAAATTCCAAAATATTTTGGACTGTTAGTCAACTGGATTTGCAACTAATTATTTTACCGATTTCAAATTGTCTCCATAAATAATAGATCATCTAACAGGACCCCCATTACTAAGGAAGTTTCTCAGGGCTCTGTGCTTGGCCCCAAGGTCAACCATCTAGGCATCTCTAATGTGCACTCTGACATTAACCTGTTTGCTCATGACAACCCTGATGGCCTCTAAAAATCCATGTAGGAGTTACAGCAACTTCTAGAACAGGACGTTGATAATCTTCAACTTAATATCCTAAAACTTGTCCTCAATGATAAAAAAATACAGAAGTTATGTTAGTCTCCAGCTGCCCCAAACCTGTCTCGCCACCTATGCATATTTGGGTCTGGACTTGCACCTCACTGAGCAGGTGGACAATTTGAAATGTCTAATTATTGTCCTGGACTAAATTTTGTCTTTCAAGGCCTGCATTGACCACCTGGCCAACAAGATAAAATGCAAAATTGGATTCCTATATAGAAACAAGCGCTGTATTCCACCTCGACTTGGTCTGGATATTTAATGTCACCATCCGGCCCATATTTTATGATTCTGATACCATCTACTACCTAGTTTATGAATCTACTTTAAAACATTGAATGCCATTATATGACTCGACACTCCATTTCCCCCCTGACACCCCTATAGAAATCATCATTGCAAGCTGTATATTAACTCAAATTTGCCCCCCCCCCCCCCAATCAGAATCTTCTTAAATAAATCCTCCAATTACCTAAAGGAGCAGTCAATTCCTCTAACTCCCTCCAGTAGCTTCAGAAGTGCATCCTCATTCCTACAAAAATACATCCAATTGCTAAACTTTATTTTGGTAAAATAATTTCCATTTTGCTTCTCCACGCGACTGGAATACCCTTGCTTCTCATCTACAGCTTGGTTTCCTTCTCTCTATTTCCCGAGTAAACCAAAACACAGAGCATACTTTTACCTGGTGCCTCTTGATTTCATAATATTTGCACTGTCTATTGATTGATGTGTGTTTTATTTACAACCGTTAAATACCTCGTTTATTCGTTATGCAATATTCCTAATTATCTGTAATATTGATGTGTTTGTCTATGTTTTACTGTTATTGCTGTGCTCACACACCACGGATCTCCCTTGTAAAATAGCTGGGAAACTGACAATGGGATCATCCGTGTAACAAATAAAATACATGTAAACTTAATGTATTACGTCGAGACTTATTCTTGGTTCTTTCGGTAAAGTCATGTAGATAGAAAATAATAATAATAATTTTCTAAATTTCTATTAAAATAAATTGAAAATAATAAAAGCAAAAAAAATACGATAAAAATAGTTAAATAAAATTAAAATAAATTGAAAATAATAAATATTATTTATGAAGGTATTGGCCACATTTTTTTTTACTATTTTTATTGTAGTTTTTATCGTGGTTTATTGCTTTTATTATTTTCAATTTATTTTTAATTCACATTTTCTTTTTTTTCTTATCTATCTACGTGACTTTACCGAAAGAACAAATAATATGAATTCCTGCAGTCACGAAAGTTTTAAGTCAAAATTTAAGTCAAGACTTGTTTTTCTGCGGTAATGTGGAATTCTCACCACTGGATTACGACCTAAACATGATCCAACACTCATCTGAGTACAGAGGCAAATTTTTACTGTATCAATAAAATCCAATCTCCATAGAGTAACTGTCAATAAGCTTTATTTTTTTTACACACGATCTTTGCGTCAAGGTGAAAAACCACCATTCCTTTTAAAATACAAAAAACATACCCCGTGGTATACATCACTCCCAGCAGCTAGCAAATGTGTTTTTCAATTTCCGGGTTATATACTCAGAAATGCATAGTATTCCACACCAGGGATATTATTTATGAAGCTTTTTTTCACCACCTGCCACCCTTCTCTCACATAGAATAACTGACTAAAGAAAGTTATGCAATGCATACGAGTCCACGGGGGAGCACAATGCCACCGGCCAAATAAAATCTGACTCTCATGAGCATTAGTGCATTGTGCTTGCCATTAGCACGTGGCCCCGTGTGAGGGGGCATGCACAATGTCACATTTAATCAGGGTCTCCTAGTTTTTACAAAAAATGCATAAACCCTACAGGCCCTCCTCAATGAGACAATGTCACACATTTTGGTATGAGTTAAGTTGAATATACTATTGTGCAACCATTTCATATTAATCACAAGGATTTACCTTGGAAAGTCTCACTGAATCTCCACTCTTTTTCAGGGGAGTACTGCATTGAAATATGTGGCCAATACCTTCATAAATGATACCTCAATCATTATTCTATTCACAAAGGGTGACAAAACTAACTTGAAGAACCACAATCACTCTTCTTATCACACGTATATATATTGTTCACAAAGATCATCGGAAACAGAATGTTGAACAAATTAGAGGCCATCCAAGCACAGGGCAAGCAGGGTTTAGGAAAGGGTTTTCCACATCAACCACATGCACATACTATTCATGCTGGCGATGAATGTCAACTGCCATTCATCGCCTGTATACATTTGACTATATTCAAAATTGTTGCAGTCATCCAAGCTTTTATAGTCTGTGGCCTAAATAAATACAAATGTTTATAATATAATCTATATACAACAACAGCCACGAAAAAGTTTGTATGAAGAATTTTAAAAATACAAATTCAAAGGGGAGTCAAACAAGATGTCACACTTTCACCAACGTTATTCACCGAACATTTTGAAGATAGTTTCTGAAAATTGTACAGGTGAAATAAAGACATGAATATTCACGGAGAACCATCTGAGATGTTGATAACATAGTGATTAAAACGTCCATTGGGCACGAACTGCAGGAAATAGTATACGAATATGAAGGAGAATATAAGATTACTAAATAATTGGAGCATCGTGAAAGGTGGTGGAAGCTTGGGGTTGCCTTCATCAAGCAGTGCATTGACCATGGCTGATGATTATGATGACCATTAATAAGGGTTTGGCATGCGGAAAGAAATCAGAGTACCCAGAGAACCCACACATACGAGTGGATGACATTCAGGACTGCCATCTCCTGCCCACCTCACTGCCCCACACCTACAATACCTCACAAGCCTTGGTGGTCATCCATTCAAGTACTTACAGGCTTAATTCCGCTTTGCAACTGAAGTCCGTGAGATCAGGCACATTTTGCGTTTGTAACAGCAAACCCTTGTTAATTCGACACATATGGGGCTCTGGCCTTGCCGAATGATCAATATTCCGAATTATGCCCCAATAAAATAAAATAAAAATCCAAATCTGTTTTCCAAACACTTCACACATCATACACATTGACACACCTGCATAAATTGTATCCAAAACTTGGAATTTGTCTCGCAGACTAAGGAATGTATACTACTTGATGTAGGTGACCATTCCGTATGGCAATGCGGCTCATGGCGAATTACTAATAATGTACATATGCCGAAAGCGCAGCCGTGTCGAATGATCCCAAATTACGAATTATCAAATACCGAAATAACGAGGTTTTACTATATTATTATGACATAATTGCACAATGGTACAATAATCTTGGCTTACACCAGCATGCGTGGTAATGTCTCAATGGGGAGGGCCTGTAGGGTTATGGAATGTGTTTTGTTAAAGCAGGAGACTGATTAAATATGACACTGTGCATGCCCTATTCCCACATGGGGCTTTGTGCTGATAGCAGGCGCAAGCATGAGTGCTCACAACAGCCTGGTTGTCTTGGCTTACCAAACTCAATCTCTTTGTAACCCACAAACTCTCCTATTCATCCCTAACTTTTTATGACCCACCAGCCCCAAATAACCTCATGATCCACCAACGCCCTATATATTTGTGTGATCCAGCAACCCTTGCCTCAAAGTTGATGGATTCCAGTTGTGCACCAATATTAATGTTGTGTACACAATACACCAAATACCCATTTAAGACTTTAAGGAAACGATACCCATTCATCACACATGTACGTGTACATGTGTGTAGTGTACATGTGTGTAGTGTACATGTGTGCATGTGTAGTGTACATGTGTAGTGTACATGTGTAGTGTACACTGGGATTATTCCATTTGAACCTCATTTGCCAGTAAAAAATATGATAATTGTTTTTTTGCCGTTTTATTTGGCAACAAAACTAACACCTTTGGCGTCATCTGGTCCAACACCATGTGAGACTAGGCTCTCAAGGAAAGCTGTCTCGGGTGTGGACCAATCAACTTCAAGGACAGTGCACACATTATCAGAGTTATGTTTTTTGTTTGCATTATGGCTGCAGGTATTGTGGTCTATGCTAACATGACTCCTTGTAAAAAAGGTGTCAGTTTTGTTGCCAGATAAAAGGCTAAAAAAACAATTATCACTGGAATTATTCATCGCAATCATCACCCGCTGCTGGCAGCCTGTAATGCTGGATTGCTGGCCAGGTGTTCAGTGACCTTGTGCCCACATAAACAGCTCCCACTGGGAGTGCCCTTTCAAGCGTGTTGAAATGAGATGCGTTGTAAAGCATTCTGAGACGCCCTGGCATATCGAGCACTTTCATAGAAACAAATCATCATAATTATTACTATATGTAGTGTGTCTGTGTGTAGTCTCTGTGAAGAGTCCTATGCACAAAGCCATGACATTTCACATACTTTTTTAGTACAGTATAATCTGGTTATAAGAACACCCCTTGGGAGTAAAGCTTGGTGTGCTCAAATCCGACATGTGCTTGGATCAGAAGTTGCCTTTCCCCACGAGTAAGCATGTGTTGCTTATATCAGAACTGATCTCATATAAGGTGTGAATCGAAAGTACTTGTAGTTTCTACTCTATATATTGTACATACAGTGTGCGCTGTGAATATTTGGGAATTATTTAAATATTTTCACCAAGTGAACAAAACTTTTTTTTAATAAGTTAATGTAAGGCATGCAGACGATAGCAATTCGTATGCGTACATTTTACTTTTGAACACTTCCATTGTATTCTTTGGGTCTTTCGGTAAAGTCACGTAGATAGGTTCAAAGAAAATAACAAAAAAACTATGTTTTGTGATCGAAACGTAGTTTTTTGTTATTTTCTTTGAATCTATTTACGTGACTTTACCGAAAGACCCAACGAACATGAATTCCTGCAGTCACGAAAGCTTTAAGTCACTGTTCCATTGTGTTGTGGCCTTCCCTCGCAGTAAATGGTGTCAACAATCTCAAGTGGAAGACAACGAGCGTGTTCCGCCCGTTTGTGGAAGTGAACGTCATAGGCCCGCAGCTGAGTGATAAGAAGCGCAAATATGCTACAAAGTCTAAAAACAACACGTGGTCTCCAAAGTTTGAGGAAACCTTCAATTTGTAAGTATATCTACATGTTCTGTCGAAAGTTCTCATTTTATTTGACCACTCATTTTCTTCAAATGTGAAAAGGGACGGAATCCCATGCTCGACAAAGGCAGGTTTCGCCAATATTATTTGTTTAAAAATGAAAAGGGTTGTATTTGTTTTCTTAGTTGTCCATTTACGTATGAATCTATAAATATAAACTAGGAATGGGAGGGAACTGAGTTCCCATATTTGAATTCGATTAAGTTTCAGCACTTGTATGGCATTTCAAAATGAATGAATCTCCGGGCCGAATCAAAGCTGAATTTCCTCAGCGAGCGCCTGTATCGTGGCGTGCCACATGCACCCCATGGTTGCTGTGTGACGCCAGGACACAGGTGAGGTGAGTACTTTGTTCATTATACATTTTAAATGTTAAGTAGCTTGTAATAACCAATAAATTAATATGGCAATTTGAATTATCATCAGGCTCCATGGTATAAAGTTCAATGGCCTCTCTACTACGTATGTGCTATGAAGAAAGGCCACATCCGGAAATGTCGCCTGTTATATAATTTTATTTTGAAGGCCACAGTGTTATTGAGGAATGTGGAGCTTTTGTTATTTGTCCTTGTGTGCCACTGCCAAGACAGTATAAACAAATAATTTGAAATGTATAATGTATCTTGAACAATATACTATTAAGTTATGTAGTGTATGATGTGTTTTTATTCACCACAATACGGTTTTGTAGCATAATAATTTGAAAGCATTAGAATATGGTATGTGGTGTATGTTATTAAATGCTCCAGATAATGCATTTTAAATGCATTTGAATGTGTTATGTCGAGAATAATGTATTTAAAATCCACTAGATTATATTTTGTAGTGTGACATTTGTTATGCACTAGAATTATGTTATTCAGTCTATAAACAGTTTTAAATGAATTATAATGTAGCAATGTAGTCTACGATGTAGTTTAATGCACGGGGATGTAAGTAGTGTATAGTTTTTAAATGCTCTGAAATATCTGAAGACAAAGTACAACACATGGATCAGAGGACATATGCAAGCTAATGCCATTGATTGGTGAGAAAAGTACGTGGACATGCAGAGAACATGTCTGCTAAAATAAATGATAGCTGATAGTCGAGATTAAAGACGTGGCAGCCAAAGGAGAGAACGCATTGGAGAGGATGTTGACAGTGGTGATCGAGAGATGAGATCAGCTCGTATGCAGCTGGGCTAGATCGATTGTTGGGGAGGCTTTCATCCAGAAGTGGATAGATCATGACGCCTACCTAAAACCTGATTTCCACCACCATCCATCCCAGAAGAATTCCCTCATCAAAACGCTACACCATAGAGCTCAATGTATCTCCGACCATGAACACCTAACCAGTGAACTCAAACACGTACACCAAGCTCTCATGGCGAATGGATATTCTGACTATACAATCCGCAAAGCCATCACCCCAACCGTGAGGGAGGAGCCATCTGAGGATCCAATCAAAACCATCATCCTGCCATACACATAGCAAGGGTAACCAAAATATTTCCAAAATCATGAACAAACACAAGATCCAAGTCCGATTTAACATAGTACATACAATTCGTGATTTGGTCCCATCTTTGAAGGACAAGATTCCTGACATGTAATATCCCGGTGTCTACAAACTAAGCTGTGTCTACGGCAGCGGTTACATTAGGGAAACTAAGCGACATGTCTCTAACCGTGTTCGTGAGCATAAGGCAGATTTGAAACATGGTAGGACTAATACTTTTGCAGTGGCTGATCATTATTTTAATGCACCTGGCCCACACGAAATTGATTGGTACTTTGCAAGCCTACTGGCTATCAACAAAGATTAATTCATGAAGCCATCCATATATACAGACACAGACACATTTTCAACCGAGAGGAAAGGAAGGTTATAGACTCAGCATTCATTGGAAAGATGTCATCAACCACTTTGGGTCATGACTTACTTGTATTTTCTTGTCAATCAACCTCCACATCAGCAGTATGGTTTGTAGAGCAGGGTGCAGTGCTGCTGCATTGGCAGTGTTGCTGCATTGGCATTGCTGGTGCATTGGCATTGCTGCTGCATTGGCATTGCTGGTGCATTGGCATTGCTGCTGAATTGGCATTGTTGCTGCATTGGCATTGCTGCTGCATTGGCAGTGTTGCTGCATTGGCATTGCTGCTGCATTGGCATTGTTGCTGCATTGGCATTGCTGCTGCACTGGCATTGCTGCTGCATTGGCATTGCTGCTACATTGGCATTGCTGCTGCACTGGTATTGTTGCTGCTTTGGCATTGCTGCTGCATTGGCATTGCTGCCCCGCCCATGCTGCTGGTGCTGCTGACACACTTGGGCTACGCCCATCTCCAAACCTTTATAAACAGTTTGCCTTTAGAGGCTAACCCCTTATCCTGACGACGGCCGCTTGTGTTGCGATCGAAACGTCGTGATATTTGTATTCACTTTATTTTTATTGTTATTTTTTCTATCTACGTGATTTTACCCAAAGAACCAAATAATATTAATTCCTACAGTCACGAAAGTTTTAAGTCAAAATTCAAGTAATAAAGTTTCCGATTTGGTTTCGGCTCAGCTGAATTTCGGATTTAACTCAATTGGGATCTGATTGGTTCATCCAATTCCCGGTAGCAACTTCCTTTCCCCAGAAACATGAATCGGGCTCATCATTTTTTTTTCGTTTTTTGTCGTTCTTATGTTCTGCTCTGTCTGTGTGTCTCCGTTCCTTTTGTTTTATGTTTTGTCTTTCTTTGGAATTTTCACACTTAAATTCTAACTTAGCAATCTTTGAAATACGTAATCGACCAGGCTATGCGTTAATTGTGTGTTGACCGACTCTCTGTGTTGTATTACATAACATTTCGATATTTTGCTAGGTTATTTAATTTAGTGTGTTCTTTCTCCCTCTCTCCTAATGTTCAAACTTGCTTACTTTATTACGCGTTTTCCGCACTCATTGACATGTTAATTTTTTACGCGTTTTCCGCACTCATTGACATGTTAATTTTTTACGCGTTTTCCGCACTCATTGACATGTTAATTTTTTACGCGTTTTCCGCACTCATTGACATGTTAATTTTTTACGCGTTTTCCGCACTCATTGACATGTTAATTTTTTACGCGTTTTCCGCACTCATTGACATGTTAATTTTTTACGCGTTTTCCGCACTCATTGACATGTTAATTTTTTACGCGTTTTCCGCACTCATTGACATGTTAATTTTTTACGCGTTTTCCGCACTCATTGACATGTTAATTTTTTACGCGTTTTCCGCACTCATTGACATGTTAATTTTTTACGCGTTTTCCGCACTCATTGACATGTTAATTTTTTACGCGTTTTCCGCACTCATTGACATGTTAATTTTTTACGCGTTTTCCGCACTCATTGACATGTTAATTTTTTACGCGTTTTCCGCACTCATTGACATGTTAATTTTTTACGCGTTTTCCGCACTCATTGACATGTTAATTTTTTACGCGTTTTCCGCACTCATTGACATGTTAATTTTTTACGCGTTTTCCGCACTCATTGACATGTTAATTTTTTACGCGTTTTCCGCACTCATTGACATGTTAATTTTTTACGCGTTTTCCGCACTCATTGACATGTTAATTTTGTCTCTAACCCCTCCATCTCTCTGCCACCGCCCCCTCTGCCTATTTAAGGCCACTCCACAGAGAAGATCTCCCTCTCTGTACCTGTGTTACTCTCTCTCTATGTATCTTGGTGATATCTGTCTGCTTATATGTCTGTCTATAGTTTTTCTGGTTAGAATTTTTTGTTGCTATTTCATTTATACCTGATGATGATTGCTTGTGTTGCAATCAAAACGTCGTGATTTTTATTTTATTTTACTTTTATTAATTTTAATAAAAAAATTTTACCTACGTGGCTTTACCGAAAAAACCTAAGCATATGAATCCTTGCAGTCACGAAAGCTTCAAATCTAGAATTAGACTCTTAAACAGGCCGTTGAGAAAGAGTCGAGGCAGACACAGAATAAGTCGTATTATTCGCGACCCCGATGGCATCGGATTCCTCCAATCTGATAAAGATTCTGATGTTGATGGGGAATTGGCGAGTGAAAACAGCCTTAATTTCAATGCCCTGGTTCCAAACTTTATCCTCATTCCACAGACAGCAAAGGCAGGGGAAACTCTAAATATGGAATTGCCCACTCGGTTTGGGCAGGGTGAACTCACGTGTAAAAGCCAGGGAGAGTGTAAGTGTTGCTTTGTCCAACAGTCTCATGTCCAAAAAGGAGAGGCTTATTTCTCAGGTGAATTTTTTTGGAATATATATTTTTGAGTATATTGGATGAAAAACTTGAGCTCCTGTTCGGAGTAAGAGGCAGTGCCCAGATTTATGTGTCTGCAAGAAAAAAAAAATCTCGTTTCTTTGATGTGTTTAGTTGAAAGATTTGCTGTTATTTGATGATGACAAAAAGGGTGGAATAAAACCTAAACACATACTAATGATTGCAGTGAGACTCGGATTCTCCTTATAAATATCTTATTCGGAATAATATTAAGCACTGTATTCTCCATCATGCAGTACTCCATTGAAATTTCATCATTATACTGTACTTTCAATTATATTTCATTTTTAATTTTGGTCTTAGCTGTTGCAAGTACACATACAATGTTGCTGAGAATATATTTGGGAAAGCTTGTCATCTCACCGACTCTCCACTTAATAAGTGTTTGGGTACTTTCTTCATGTATTCTTAATGTAGTTATTCCAATGAGCAAGGTCGGCTACGTACGGTGCGAAAGAAGCTCAACATACATTTTGTGAATTTATTTTATTTTTATATGTTTTATTCATGCCTGCATTTGTAAGAGATTGAATGACCATCTATTCTAATGAGTCGGATGCTTTTTTCATTGTATATAAAGTCTTGGTACAATGGCAGTTGAAATGTATAAGTATTTTTACGAATCTGATTGATAGTATGTCCATGTGGTCGATTATAGAATCCTTCCTAAATCTGCTTTTTGGTATGGTTAGTTGGCCTCTATTAGTGAATTATATTGTTTCCAGTGATGTCAGTGAACAATTAAAGAGGATAATAGGTCATGTGGTTCTTCAAGTTTGTTTTATCTCCCTTTATAAAATAAAACAATGATTGGCGCTTCATTCTGTAATTGCGGTAATTGATTTATGTATGAATAATTATGAAAAAGTCCGTTAATTGCGTGCCAGAAATGAGTCCTGTTTATTTTAAGAAGTCCAGAGTTATAACCATCTGGTTCCCGGAGCGTTCCCGTTTTTTATAAAGCAGTGTTAATGATTAATGCTGGATTCTTTTTGACTACAGGTGGCTGCCCATATTAAAATTCAGAATCTCAACAGCTTCAGCTTTGTACTCCGACACAGTATGAGCCTATTCTGCCCAACTGTGTTTAGGTTGTGGTATCCCATCATCGACAGCCTGGACTTCCGTACAACTATGGAAATGATGACCAACAAATGTGTTATGAGTTAATTTTGGTCAAACGCACGCAGAACATAAATAACGTTTGGAAAAAGAGCAAAGGAAAATCTGCAATGCCCAGCACAGCTGGAAGAGTCAGCGATGGTCTAAACGTGTGGATTTTTCAGCAATTTAGAATAAATCTGAAAAAAAATTCATACGTCAGGAGTGCAATGCACAATATAATATGGTGTTAACCTTCTTGGTTCTTTCGGTAAAGTCACGTAGAAAGGAAGTAATAAAATAATAAAAATAAAACATAATAAAATTATTCTCACGACGTTTCGGCCACAACGCAAGCAGCCGTCCTCAGGTGAAAACCAGGTCCGTCGAGGACGGCTGCTTGCGTTGTGGCCGAAACGTCGTGAGAATAATTTTATTATGTTTTATTTTTATTATTTTATTACTTCCTTTCTACGTGACTTTACCGAAAGAACCAAGAAGATGAATCCCTGCAGTCACGAAAGCTTTAAATCAAAAATGGTGTTAACCGTCATATCTTTCCTTGATTTTTATTAGTTTATCGCTGCTCATTGTGTATTTCAGTTCATTGATGTATACGTGCAAGTGCACGTACACATGCATTAACAATTCATATCTTCGTGTGCAGCTCCCTGGGAAGTTCATCCGGATTCGAGTTCTATGAGCTGCAGCTGCTCGTCAAAGACTACTGCTTTGCACGTGACGACCGGGTCATTGGACTGAGTGTCCTGCAGCTGCGCGAGATCCAAGAGAAGGGCAGCTGCACGTGCTGCTGCCCCCTGCGTAAGTCGGTCAATATGGATGAAACGGGACTCACCATTCTACGGATCCTCTCTCAGCGCACGAGCGACGAGGTTGCCAAGGAGTTTGTTCGGCTCAAATCTGATGTCCGGTCCACGGAAGAAGAGAGCTGATAATTTCCATAACTACGCTACTTTTGTCTTCCTGCCATGCCCTGCTGGTGTAAAATATTGCACAGATTGGTTTGTTTATGGACATAAATTCCATTTTCTGGATTCCACATATAATGAGGTTACTGTGTTTGTATATTCATCGTTCAGTGCCAATATATTCTTTTTTAGCATCATGTATTGTTACACTTTATTGTTATCTTAAGCATTTCAATACATATTTGTTCACACGCATGGACTGTTTAAATGGTTTGTTTGCTGTGTACTTGAAACATTTCTTGTCGTCATGTGTACAAACTTATCCTGAAAATTCCAGGAACTATCATACGATCTATTCTATCCGAGTTGTGTTTTGTCAATGCTGTCTGTAAATATGCTAGTCCAGTTACCTTCCAAAATGAAAATCACTGTGATTCAATAATGAGGAAAGATGATAAATGGAAGTTACAAATCTATTTATCACCACCAAAGTGATAAGATGTGTAAAGTGATGTAGATAGTTGCAAAAGGTTTATGTTGCACTGTCCTTGGTCAAAATTGTGCTTTCACTGGCTTGCATCAAATGTATCTGCCTTATTCTACGACCAATTACGACGTTCACACATGATACGTGCTTATCATTCTCTTTTTTCAATACGTAACATTTTTTTTAGGGAATGTATGAGCACTTTGAAAGCAGGAGACAGCATCTTAGTTAAATTGCAACCTGATTCATGCCAGGTCGTGTTACTTTTGTTGATAAAAAAAGGTCATCTGCAACAATCAATAGCAATAAATTGGTTTGACTTTCACCAAATCAATACATTACCATTTTACGTTTAATAAAACATGAAAGTATTAATGCAACACAACAATTATGGGTGCACATTTGGCTTGGACTTGAACCCAATTGGATTTTGTGGCAAAAGAAATCCATGGAACATAAAACATGTTTGATAGATTAAGAACGGTGAAAACACCATCTCCCTGGAGAGAGGCGAAGGGGCAGGACAGAGCCTTGCTTCACACGTGAAGGACCGTGGTTGTGTTCTTAGCTTTGGGGAATTATTTGTCTTTTTGTGGGTAAAATACTTTGAATTTCTAATTGATAATGGGTTAATGAGTATAATTTTTTTAAAGTTTTTTTTAATGTAAGAAATCTATATTGACCCCCGTTAGGTGGAAATCAACTTGTTATTCATGTGCAGAGCAAGACGTCTTCGTAACCAGCCAATAATACATTTGTTCTTCGTTAAAACTCGATTCTTGTGCTCGTGATGCCTGCTTTCACATTGTGCACACGAGAATTGCTTCGTTTCAATCCGATTGAAAATACCCAACGCATGTTGTGTTCATGGAGTTCATGCGACACCCTTGCAGTGGCTGGAGGTGCTGCACTGGACCACGACGTTAAACAAATTCGTTCTTGAAAATAATCGCAAACCTGACTTGTGTGCTCTCAACCCTTGTTCAGTCACGAACAACCTAATTCATGCCAGGGTCATATTACATTTTTGAGACATGATCTTGAACAATCAATAGTAGTAAATAGGATTACAATTTTGTGATATATTAAATAATTGCAGTTTGGTGTCAATCGTGTGATAGGAATAGATATTGTTCCTGGCTTGGTTACGCTGTTTTAATTTGATTAAAGTTACTGAAAAATCTTATTTGACTAAAAAATAATAATAAGATAAACAGTTTACTAAACAACGGCAGGAAAGTAGTGGCTCATACTTTTCCTTTGTTAGGCAACATTTTTGTAATGTGAATTGTGATATAATTGACGTTTTATCTCAATCAACATAAACATCTGTGAAGTATTCATAGAACCTGGATCACATTGGATCGACGCAGGGATACATGGTGGGTATAATGAAACTCGAATTATGGACACCTAGTAATAATTAGCATTGTACAATGTCCAATTATTTAATGACCGTTAATCGCATGAAAAACGTGGTAAAGAAACGGTTACCAGTTTGCCGCACATATTTAAAAAAGGTCTAGCAATAACCCCGATAACAGTTAACCGAGAAACGAAGGTTACTGACATGTTATAGCCAACTGATTCAATCTCCGGGCACGGCAGCTGAAACAAGGGCCAAGTTTCTTAAATCCCCTACCACTGCACCCAATGTGGTATAAACACCATCAATCAACGGATTCTGTGTGGTGGGGTAAAGTGTTGGTAACTCCCACCTTTTCCAACGCGTGCGGTCAGCCGGGAAGAGTGGTACAAATACCCTCTAGAGCTGACTGGATTGGAGGCCTTCCTGCCAGCATTGACGTGGGCAAACATTACTGGGCTGCAACATACCACGCAGAAACTTGGACCTGCCGCTGGTGCCTCGATATGGCTGCCACGAACCAATCACAGTCACACGCGCCGTGCAATTTAAATAATCGCACGTGCCAATTTAGACATTACTAAAATTCCACTGGATTAGAGTAATGATTCCTGACTTCATCAATTAATAACAGTAATGTTATTGGCAGTTATAATACAAACATCACCATGATAATGTTTTCGAAGTTTTGACCCTGACGATTTAGATCCTCAACAATTAAAACTTCTGTAAATATTGTTGTGAAGATTGCTGTTTTTTTAGGCACAGTAATTTAATTGTTTTTTTCCACTGGTTATGTGGTTGATTATAAATTGGAGGACATATTTAGTTAAATGTGAATTAATTTAAATGTTTGAAGTTAGGAGTTGTATAAACGGTCAGTGTTTTTTTAAGTTATATGATTTTGTAAGGCTTTTAGTGATTTGAGAAAAACGTTACATTTTTTATACGTATGATAATAACGAACAGTATTAAAGTCTACATTTCCATTCATCACATCTGTGAATCGATAAAAAAAATGTATTTGGCTAAATGCGGTTTTGTGAAAAAATGTAAACTTTAGAGGAAAAATCAAAGTCCCACTGTTGCAGAATGAACAATGTTGCACCATTAATGTATATTGATGGTCTTGCACCAGCAGTGGAAATTGTTGTGGCAGGGTCTAGACCCCTAGAACGACCAAAGTGGTACTACTATTGAACGTGAATGGATGATATGCTGAACTGACCCCTGCAGAGATTTCAACTCAATGTATGCTATGATGAAGAACAAACATCATTTGGCTCGATATCTTCCAATTGAGCCAAGTGATCTAACCAAGGCAGCTGCCACTAAAGTCGATCACTGTTTTTCAAGTGTTCAAAACAATCACCTTCTTGTGTTACATTATTTTGTACATACGATAGCGAGTGAAACGCCTATTGGTTGGGATGCTCAGTGCACAATGGTTTGATTCTGAAAGCTGTATGGTAATTGAGAGAATTACTAAAGCACATCCATCATCTGCTGTGTAGAATACAGTTAAGATCCTGTGACATTATTTGCAATAAAAGGTCACTGTGTTAGTGTAATAGCGATTATTTTACATTTCAAACCGTCTTCAAAGTATTTGATAGTGCTCATTTTTTGGCGGCCCTGACCTAATAGATGAAATTCCATATTCCTATGTTGGAGCAGTCTACTTATAACACAACCATTGCAAATAAATACCTAAAAAAAGTACTCCAGTATGCAAGTACAGACATCAAGGTTTTCTGAGAAAAAATAAAGGTCAATAGTTCCTTGCCAGGTTTCCCAAAGGAAGTTGTGTTTGTAAAATGTAGAGTATCTGAGAAATATTGGCACACATTTTCTGTTATTAGACCGCATGCAGATGTGGCTTCCAATTATGTACATTTAATTTGTAAAGCAATTTTATTATGGTTAATTGGAATGCATATACAGTACCTTCTAAGCATTTTGTATCTTTGCACGCAGCTTCTATGCATGCCATGCTGGACTGTTCGTCTTACACTCATAGTTTATTCTTGTATATGGATTTATTTAAACTGTGAGGCGATTCATTTGTTGTAACTAATGAAAATTAAGTTAATTGCACCCATCCCATGTTAACTGTTTGTGGAGCTTCAGAATTGCATTGTTACTTTATGTTGTATGTAAAAATTGTATTGTTATTAAAATATTAAATGAATGCATGTTGAATGCAAAATATGCAATGTTTTGTGGGTTAATGTAACATTTAATGTCCCTGGAGATCGTATATCCATGACAATATCACCGAGGATGTTCCTGGTCTTTTCTAAGCAGCGTTGAGCGTAAATGGTGCCATGGATTGGCAACCACCATGCACAACCAATGTGATGGGCAGCAATATATATTATTGTATTGTACTTCTCTGCTCCCCTTATGGACGGGAATAGATCACATGACATGAACGCATTTCAAGGAATGAAACGAGGAATGGTATGAAAAAAATTGGCCAGAATAAAAAAAAAACATAAAATAGTTTTTTGCTTCAATATATCCAACAACATTCTGGTGACAATTCAGAATATCACAAAATATTAGTATAAAAATTGTAGAGCCACCATCTTGTACAAGGGGAGCACGTGGAGCAGGAACCACTGACCATTTTGAGAAGTGTGACGGCATTCAGTGAACTTTTAGAAAACTAAAGTGGAAAAAACTTGCAGGGGGTGGGGGGGGGTTTGCTGAGTTTGACCTCTTTAAATAATTAAAGGTGTTAAATCATATGAAAGCACAAAAATAATGTTATACATGTATTCACCTTCAGAACTTTGACCGTCTCTTCCAATGACATTTTCAGTCAATGTGTTGGCATTTTAATGGTTAAAAGCACGTAATAGTACATATTTGTCAGTCTCTATGGCACTGATCATTCCACACTGCCTATAGCCAAATCATGATCCACTGTGATATATTCGTGAACGTTAGCATGATATATTGAGTTAAAACCATTATGATGTTCTGCCAATACCTAGGGTTACAGGGTAGCTGGAGCCACCTTCCATCGCCTACTGCGCCACATTTGACATGCTTCAATTCATAATTATTTGGTAAAACTGCTTTTAATGTATTGGGACTCGTGCAATTATTGAGCAGGGTTTAAATGTCTCTGATACCACGGCTTGAGTTAATATTAACTATGGCTTATAACTCCATGTACTGTAAGATACGGGTGTGCACAACTTTCAAGGATATCCTCATCATCAGAAAAGTGAATGTACCCACTCACGATCTCACACGGTTCTGCTTAATGAATGGTGTCGTCTTTTCCCACGCATGGGCCCACCCTACCTGCCACAATGGTCCACAGTCTCCTCCTTCAGAGGTACTCGGCCCACCACAAGTGAGAATTTTCTCTTCCAGACCCCGAAGGGGTCTGGTAAGCTCTGCCTCCACCAACAATAACCGCCATTTGCCACTTTGCGGCAGAGGCGAGATCAGGCTATGTGAACTTTGACGCCACATGAAGTGTTTAACGCTCGCTGGCAGGTCACGGGACAAACCCAAGTGCCATGGAGTTAATTGGACTGAGATAACTGGCAAATACACCACCTGTGCCGACACCTGCCAATGAGGCGCAGCCACCTTGCAACAATGATTTCAGTTCTTATATTATTCATCAAGGACGAGTATCCTGAATAATTGATAAAGATCGTAGTGGAAATTCAGCTCCTCTTCATGCTCATTAGCATGATAAAATCAGGCATTAACAACGTCATCGGGCTCTAAACAATAACACTTTTCTAAATATAAATTACAATTGTAGTAAACTTTTTATTTACCTGAGCTTCCACCAGCAGCACATTCAACCAACCCTGAACACGTGTAGACTTATACTGGTAGGAACCACCTGGTTCCACCAGCCCACAGGGGATTATTGTGTCCGTCCGTCGTGAATCAAAAAATGGGAGGGGTCGGGCTGGGTGGAGAGGGGAGGGTGGGGAGGGGCTGGGTGGGGAGGGGAGGGTGGGGAGGGGCTGGGTGGGGAGGACGGGGAGGGGCTGGGTGGGAGAGGTGGGGCTGGGTGGGGAGGGGCTGGTCACCCCGTGGTGCCCTTATAAAACTCAACGTTTAACCTACTCACGCCGGCTTGTGCCCGCCCTCACAGTCGGCCATATTTGCGGAATACACCACGCCGCCGTTGACCCTAGCCATTGACCGAGCAACCCAACGTTCCTACCAGCTCCCTCCGCAGGAATGTGTTATTGTGGGGGTGAGTGTACTAATACTAATTTATTTGTCAAACGCTTTGCCGATTCACCAAGCTCTCCCTGCTGATTCCAGACCCAGGGGTCGGAAACCAAAATAACAGGAAGAGAGTTTTTGTTCGAATTCGATAACCCCCCCCCCCCCCTCAATATTTCAAGAGCCGCAATGCCATGTGCATTCGAGACGGTGGTCCTTAATAAATAACATCAAGAAGCAGTCCTTATAGCACCGCATGCGGCTCCAGATATCCTCGATCCTTCACTCCTGTTGCTCTTCATTCGACTCAACCATCATCCCTGCAGCCGTCTTTGTTTTATTTCCATAGTTTTAGACTAAGTGCAAGCGCACTTCTAATCTATTGTATAAAATCAGTGTAATGACGACTTGACACACTTCTCTTGAGATGGCACTTTATTGAAGACACGTTCGCTTGATATCAGACGGAGATCCCGACCGCAACAGCTCCGAGTCTCCTTTTATATCAACACGAGGCCACTGTTGCTGCTGCTCCTGCAGCTTTTGCTTCTGCCGTTCCTGTTTGGTGCTTTTGCACCAACCTCAAACTCAGTCCAAATGGCTCACAGAATAATAGGAAATGGAGGATCATAGCTATCAATAGATATTCTCCACCCTCAACACACTTGCAAGCTGGGATAAACAAGCAGGCGACCACCAGCGTGCAGTGGCGAGTGTGCCCTGGGAAGTGACATCAAGGCACGTGGCAGGGAAGAGGTCGATGCTGTCGGCTGCCTCGGACTGTTTTATATATTGTTATAAAAAAATTATGGAAAAAAATCCAAAATACATACATAAAAATTGTAATGTGAAAATTATGTTAATGTAAGTGTGATCAACTATAAATGTGTGTTCAGTGTAATTAAGAATGTGCGTGTGAAACATGAATGAGTAATGTGTGTATGTGATTATGTGTGTGATTATTGTGTGTGATTACGCAAGAGTGATTATGTGTGTGTGTTTATTATTGACTCTCTCGTTGTCTAGGGGTATGTATCATCAATCGTGATACATTAATGATTACCATTCATGATTCTTGCCTTAACAATAATGATGTGTAATTATGTCAGGTCTCGGGATTCAGATCTCACCGCAAGATTCATCACTACGACAATGATGCACGAATCTAGGAAATAAACACTCGGAACCTGTTTTTAATATAAGCAAATTTAATCTCACTTCCTCTAACATCCACCTCTGATCAACAGGAATTAATAGCAACGACAGTACCCACGTCAATATACGTACTCATCAATCCGCATGAAATGATAAAAGAAACAAGTATACACATTTATAATAGCCCAGATATGTCGTTCTGTGACTGTGATTAACGCCCCCGGATTGGTTGAAGTGCGTCACGTGACCGCGAGCTGCCCACTTTTCGTGTTGTGGTGCGCCCCGCAGCAACATCGCTGCCACAGCGCCGGAGACGCAGCCACGGCAAGTTCACGGTCTATCCACTCACACACGGCTCACTCACACACGGCTCACTCACACACACGGCTCACTCACACACACGGCTCACTCACACACACGGCTCACTCACACACACGGCTCACTCACACACGGCTCACTCACACACGGCTCACTCACACACGGCTCACTCACACACGGCTCACTCACACACACGGCTCACTCACACACGGCTCACTCACACACACGGCTCACTCATACACACGGCTCACTCACACACGGCTCACTCACACACACGGCTCACTCACACACACGGCTCACTCACACACGGCTCACTCACACACACGGCTCACTCATACACACGGCTCACACGGCTCACTCACACACGACTCACTCACACGGCTCACTCATACGGCTCACTCACACACGGCTCACTCACACACAGCTCACTCATACACACGGCTCACTCACACTCACACGGCTCACTCACACGGCTCACTCACACACAGCTCACTCATACACACGGCTCACTCACACACGGCTCACTCACACTCACACAGCTCACTCACACACGGCTCACTCACACACACGGCTCACTCACACACACGGCTCACTCACACACGGCTCACTCACACACAGCTCACTCACACACACGGCTCACTCACACACAGCTCACTCACACGGCTCACTCACACACGGCTCACTCACACACACGGCTCACTCGCACACACGGCTCACTCGCACACACGGCTCACTCACACACGGCTCACTCACGCACGGCTCACTTACACACAGCTCACTCACACACACAGCTCACTCACACACACGGCTCACTCACACACACGGCTCACTCACGCACGGCTCACTCACGCACGGCTCACTCACGCACGGCTCACTCACGCACGGCTCACTCACACACACAGCTCACTCACACACACAGCTCACTCACACACAGCTCACTCACGCACGGCTCACTCACGCACGGCTCACTCACACACACGGCTCACTCACACACGGCTCACTCACACACACGGCTCACTCACACACACGGCTCACTCACACACACGGCTCACTCACACACACGGCCCACTCACACACACGGCTCACTCACACACACGGCTCACTCACACACACGGCTCACTCACACACACGGCCCACTCACACACACGGCTCACTCACACACACGGCTCACTCATACACACGGCCCACTCACACACACGGCTCACTCACGCACGGCTGACTCACACACACGGCTCACTCACACACACACAGCTCACTCACACACACGGCCCACTCACACACACGGCTCACTCACACACGGCTCACTCATACACACGGCTCACTCACACACACGGCTCACTCACACACACGGCTCACTCACTCACACGGCCCACTCACTCACACGGCTCACTCACTCACACGGCCCACTCACACACACGGCTCACTCACACACACGGCTCACTCACTCACACACGGCTCACTCACGCACGGCTCACTCACACACACGGCTCACTCATACACGGCT